ATAAAAATACTCAACTTATGACAAAGAATTTTATGCTCTCGTTCAAATTATATGATACAAGTGACATTATTTACTGATAAAGAAATTTGTTATCATTTCTAATAATCAAACATTGAGATCCATAAATGCTATGGTTGTCAGTCCTAGACCCAATATGAAAACTTGGCTTAAATCCAACATGAAAAATATAGGTTTGGGCCAACCCATGTAAGATTTGAATTAAGTTCAAGTTAGCTAAAGTGACTTGAAAAATAAAACAAATCAAAGTCAAGTCAATTTGAAAATAATGAACCCGCCGTTTTTATTCTTTTTCTAATGAAAAACTCATGAAATTGTAATTTATTGTTGTTTATCTCAGTTGTCAAGAATCAAATAATTGTATTTATTTTTGGTAAGTTGACACAAACTCATCATAACTTGAAAAAAATTATGTCGTGTCGATCAGGTTTGAATTTAGCTGAGCCATGTTCGAGTTTCTTTTTTATCCTTATAATAAATGAGTTGGGTTTGAATTCACCATATTCATGTTGGGTCGTTTTCAGGTCACAAACACAAACCTGACCCATGAACCCAAAGTGATGCCCATAATAAATACTCAGAAGAACTTGAGTAATATATATGCCAAGTAGGTTAAGTACCTTTAGAACTACACTTTACCTTGAAACATTCTATAAATGCATTTTCGTAAGTTTTGCATATTCATGTACCTAACTTTGACTGAACATGGGAAAAGTATTCAACAAGCCATGAATTTTACTTAATGTATTGAGATCATAAGAATATGCCATACATTCCTTCTGCTTCCTTAATGGTTTAAGCTTAAATCTTTACAAAAGTAGTAGTTTTTGCATTCTTATGCATCTTATCATGACCATACTTAGTGGGGAAATACATGCTAGCCGTATCATGTCTTGTTGGTCAAGAAAAAGTCATACATTTACTAGAATGTGTTTAACTAACATTCATTATGATAAAACGCAACTAAGAGTCAATGGGATTCATGCCAAATTGGTGAACTATTAAAAACGTACTGTCTTGTATAATTATCTTTTTGCCCTTTGACTTCCTATGTTGATATGCGCATGGATATTCTAGTAGGATTATCCCATATTAATAGAGGTCATGATAGTGTACTAGTGGTGGAAGATAGTTTTCTAAAATGGCATATTCATTCCATGCTTAAAATCCACTTATGCATCTTCCGTATCAATACTTTTCTTTACGGCAATAGTTAGATTGCAAGGGTTACCATTGACAACAATATTTAAAAGAGATGTTAATTTTGTTTCTTATTTTTTAAAGAACTTTTGAAAATAATGGGTGCTACCTAAGTTTTCATCAATCTTCTACCCTCAAATTGATGGCCAAACTGAGAAAATAGAAGCCTATAAAATATGAGAAATGTGGTCGAAATAGTCCAAGTAATTAGGATATGCATCATCCTGCCATAATTTTACATATGATAAAAGTATATATAAAACTATGAGCATAACACCATTTGAAATTATTAGGGATGGAACCCAAAAAAGTTTATAGATCTGATTACTTTACCACTGCATGTATATTATAATTCTATTGCATCATTTGCACAACATATATATAATTTATATGATGATGTTACAAAGCAAAGTGAATTGCATGATACAAAATATTATGATGTTTTGAATGTAAATAGAAGTTCCCGGAAGTATAATGAAGTTGACTTTATAATGATTTGTGTACTTCTTGAATGTTTTAGGCAAACTAGTTCTAGGAAATTGCATTCAATGACTTGCAACCCTTTCAAAATAAATAGGAAAATTTATTCTAATGCTTATGTTTTAGATTTACATCCTAATATGTTCATGAGACTTGTTTAAAATTGCGCAATATGAGGCTCGCCTTGAGGCCCGCCTTTGCGCAATTGCAGTAAAAAACGCCTTGATGCTTACGCCTTGAGTTTTTTTTATGAGGGTTGCGCCTCAACTTGGTTGAGACCCGCCTTGAGGCCCGCTTCGCCTCACGCTATATATATTAAAACTTACATAAATCTTGAAGTAAATGTCCGACATTGGACTCTATAGGAGAGGAGGAAAGGGAGAGAGCAGTTCACCATAATGATGATTCAAATGAAGAACCCTTTAGTGATGACAGTGCTGATGACTTATGAGTTCTTATGTGATATGTCATTGCTATTTATTTTTGGAAATTGGAATTATATGTTAATGAAAAGAATACAAGGATTTGGGAAAGATAGAATTTTGAGTTGAACTATATTTCATGTTGTCTTATTATTGAGATATTTTGATTTCCACTTCATCTCTTATGTTTTTTTATGTTTTATATTATTCACTCATTAGTATATAAAAAATTTATCATTTTATGTTTACGCAATCTTTTGATTTTGAGGCTTACGCCTCAAAACACCTTGAGACTTACGCCTCGCCTCACGAATGAAAAACGCCTCAATACCCGAATACGCAATTTTAAACATTGATGTAAACAAGTCAAGTCAAGCTCAAGTCAAGGCTAACTCAAGCTCAAATCGTCTACTCAATGGCAAGCTCAAACTTGAGTCGAGCTCATACAACGAATTTGAGCTTCGCTCGTCAGAATAACAACATGCTCGCGCTTAATTGGTGTGTTCGAGCCAAAGCAAGAGAATATGGGATTGTAAGACCTTGTTGGAGATCCGATGTAAATCACTGGGGAATGCATTGACAGGACTATGATACTGTAGAATTGCATTGGGAGCACATTGAAAAGTCACAATGGGAACTTCTCAAAAAATGCATGAGCAGTGTTGAGTGTGATTGCAATGGAGCTCGTTAAAGAAGGCATTTAGAGGAGACAAAACCGGCAAGATCACGAGACAACGTGATAGGAGCTAGCTAGAAAAGGCATCGTGAGACTAGTACTATCACTTATGGAAGAAAAAAAGTTCATGTGAAAGGAACTCATGAGAGGTTGCATCAACAGGATAAATGGCGAATTGAGAAATAAAAGGAATTTAAGATAGCAGTGGCTCGCAAGCTCTCCATGAGCTCAAACTCGAGCTCATAGTTCTAATATAAGCTCATAACTCAATAAGCTTGACTCACTAACAAGCAGAATTTGAGCTTGCTCGACTCACTTACACCCATAGTTATAAGTTAGGTAGAAAGATAAACTACACTAAAATGATACTGAGAGATGACAAAGAATGAACTGCAAAAACAAGCAACTAATCTCTTGGATGAGTATATGAATATTAACTCTAAAAAAAAAGAGTTATTTGTACCCATGAAAGTTGATGCAGAACATACCACTATTCAATCCAAACAAGCTTGCAAAAACCCAATTGGCCATAAATCAACTACAAGTAATCAAATTAGCCCACAATAAAAACCAAGCCATAATGGAACCGAATTGGGCCTATTTTCAATTGATAGATTATTTGACTAATTAATAAAAATTATTATGTGAAGTCAATCAAATGTTCTCCATCTCTGAGTTGTCTGAGTGGATCGATCCAAATTTGAGATGCTTAGTTCCTCCCTCTCCCACCTCCGTCAATACAGGACGGAATATGTATTATCTCTCATTTTAACTATGCAATAACTTTGACAAATGAAAACCATGCGCAAGACATGCCCAATGAACGGGCCAAGGTCAAGAATAGTTATAACCATGGTTTTGAAAACCAGAAGGATCGGTTCGCCCGGTTCAACCGTGAACATTCATATGGCCGATTTGGTCCTCATGAAAAAATGACCCGGCATCAAACTAGTTTGAACCGGCGGTTCAACCAGCAAACCGTTGAAGCGGTTCCGATTTTAAGAATCGACCGATTCAATTCATAATCTATTTAAATAATTTAATTTAATATAAAATATTTTATTAAATATTAAATTAATTTAAATATAACACATTTTATTTAATAATGGCCAAAAATTTTATAATGATTATATATCAATTAAGCACTAACAAATCGTACCCACGTGGTCCCACCACCCCATGTGAGTCTTTAACCCATGAAAACAAGAAGAGCTATATAAACAAAATTTATACGTTTATATATAAACTAAATTTATTTTTAATCACAAATTTATATCATTATATAATTATTATATTTTTTATTTTTTATTTAAATAATTATAATATTTATTATGTCATCCAGTTCAACCCCTATCGAACCATTGAACCTTGAACCTCTCATATTTCAGGTTCGACGTCCGATCTGATTTTCACAACCTTGGCTATAACTTGAGGGATACAATGGTATAGACTTCACACTAGTTATAAAAGCTAACTTTAGACATCACTCCTTCTGTGATCCCTCATCTTAGCCTTTTTTGCACCAATTCTATCTCATTTCCTTTGTAGCACTTTCTTGATATGCATAAGCCGATATAAATGCAATCTAATTTGTACAAAATTTAGAGCATACAAATTTCTTTCGTCAGATCACATCAATTAATAATATTAATTTTGCCGCAAAACTATCTTCTATTCTTATTTGCATTCTTTCAGCATTAGTCTACAACAACAACAACAACAACATCAAGCCTTTGTCCCACTACGTGGGGTCGGCTACATGAATCCTTTTTCGCCATCTTTCAGCAATAGTCTACTAGATTAAAAACCTATTATTTCTGAACTATTGTATTACGATTTAGATGATTTATTTTCAATTTCTGGATTACGCACCTTGTATTGTCCCCCTGAATTTTTTCAAGTTCAATTTGCATCATGCCAGCCAATGATCATATGCAAATCCAAATTCATAAATGCCCAATACAGTGGTCAGCATGCCAATGATGTTACTAACAAAGGAAGAACCTCTTGGAATATATGTTCAACTACCAATGAAATGCCAAGTTATTAAAACAAAACTAAAAATCCACCTATTTGATAGGAAGATAATGTATTTCATGCTAGTGAATATATATATATATATATATATAGAGAGAGAGAGAGAGAGAGAGAGAGAGAGAGAGAGATTTCCATATCAACCATGAGGTATGAGTTTAGGAGCTCACTTGAGTCAAATTATTGACTTGAATATTGAACTTTTGAATAACCTCAATAACATTTTTTTTGGGCACCACAGCACCTGCAATACAGAAGTTGATAAAAGCATTCATTGACATGCAGAAGCATCATAAGATATAAATATTTCCAAAATCCTACAAGGAACAAGACCCATTAATGAAAAATTGCTACAACCATATAACCTGCGGGGACAAAAACTTAACAGGCAAATATTCGATATGATAATACCATTGAGAGTCCACTCAGACTTGTTGTTAATATCAATCTTCCTCAAAATTGTAATATTTTCCTCCAAGGTAAAGCCCCTCAAAGCAATCTTTATATAACCGGATTCCTCACCCCGCTTCACAAAAGCCCCTACACTCGAAGCCCTTCCAAGAAGCTGCAGTAAACATGTCAATGAGCTAGAAAAGATGTTGTGAAAAATTATTACAAGAATCCAACATTTGGTTGAATGGAGTTTAAAAACAATATCATATTTAAATAAACTATAAAAACACCACAAAATCTCTTACAATTGTTGGTTTTATTCACATACAACATGAGTAAAAATTAAACTATTGCTTTCAAAAACAGAGGTTTTAAAACTCTGCTTCAATTCCAACATGAAAGTTTTAGTTTTGCTTCTTGTGATAATTTTGTCGATTTACAGATTCAATTTTATTTGGGTTTCTGCTGCTTTTTAAATTATATGTACAACAAAAAAAAGAATGTGTGATTGGGTTAAGTTACAACACATGAAATTTGGTATATAACCACTTAAAATTATGATGCAAGTACACAGTATTAAGAATTTTCTAGTTCTCTAACGATCTATCAATCAATTCAAAGTATCTCAGACATATTTTCACACTCTAGATGACTTTTTCTCTCCCATTTGGTTGCTTTCTTGCTGTGGACAGCAAGCTATCTGCTGTTTTCCTTCTTTGAATTGATGTAAACAGCAATAAGAATTGGTTTTCCCATCCCTCTAGGTTGCGGATTGCCCAGACAGCAGACCCCTTCCACTGATTTTGATCTATGAGCTGTATTCTACTTTTATTTTGCTGTAAACTGTTTTCCCTCCTCCCTGTAGATCTTGGCCAGACCTGGTGGGTGGCGGCAGCAACCAGGAAAACCTTCAGTGACTGCAGGTGGCCAACAATAGCAGCCGAAAGGTGGCCAACAATAGCAGCCGAAAGGTGGCCAGCAGCTGCACAGAGCACTTGGTGCCCTTTAGACCTGCTGGAAAAGACCAACAGCTGGAGGAGAGATGGGAGAGAAGATTGAGATAAAATCAGTTGATTTTTATCACAAGAATTAAGCCCATTTGAAGGCAGTTGCAGTAGAAAAATAATTCAATTATATAATCCAATTCTAACCCTCTCCCAACCCCCAAAAAATGAGACAAACTCCATAATTTAAGAAAACCTATCTTGAAATAAAAATTCACATAGAAAAGTCTAGTTGTCCCCTAATTTTCATTAGTGGCAATCAAATCCTCATCATCATCATATCAACCTATGCTACTAGCACTTGCCTAAGGTGCATTTGTTATTGTATTCATGAGAGAAAAAATGGAGTAAGTAGCTTGAGTCACTAGATTTTTGAGTCACTAGTTCTTGCCTCTTTGATCATTAGGTGACTGAACAATGATGTGCTTCGCCTTTGGATACTTGTTGACTTGATCTTCAATCTTGATGATGCAATATGAGAATCACAGCCATTGGCATTCTCTATTGAGAGAATGGACCGTTTATATTTCAAAAATCCTGATCCCTTTGATTTTTCCATGTTCTGATGTCCAAAGTGATAATAGAAGGTCTGATTGATCATCTACTACATCTTATCCCATATCATAGTAAGGCCTCAGTAATTGCATTATAATATAATTTTGGCAACCAAGAGTTTCAGCAGAGTTTTTCTCATAAGCCCCAAGTTTCTTCAAACTTCACTAAACCTATAGATTTTCAGCCTAAAATTCTGAAAATCAGCCAAAACCAAAAACATTAATGAATATTCATTCGTTTTCAATTAAAACGACCAAAAGTTTAAATCATAACTAAAGCATGGTCTCTATTTGCAAGCAACCAAATGAGCAAACATAAACATAAATTCACAAAGAAAAATATTAACAAAATCTCCAAGGCAAGACCTGCGGCTCTCCGGCAAGACCCAAAGCAACGGCGCACACTAGAGAGCTCTTCCCAGATCCGTTAGGGCCAATTACGAGGTTGAGACGGGATCCAGGCTTGCATACAAGGTGATCATACGTCATGAAGTTGTGTATCACGATCTCCGTTATGTTGCCAGGCAAATAATCGTCTTCCCCTCTCGTATCGCACGGTTCGGGTGGTAGTTTGAGTCGCTTGGCAGGGCGTCCCGACATGGTGAAGGAAAGAGAAGAAGAATAGAAGACGAAGATAGCTTCTGTTTCTCCCTCTCCTTCACCGCGAGATCCCCCTGGTTTTTACCAACGGTTATGGTTTACTAAGCGGGAAATGCTATATGTAAAAACCCTAACGCTCGGACTTAGAAGCCGAATGGTGCCGAGTATACTCGATCGAGAGAGAGAGAGAGAGAGAGCACTTCGGACCGGACGGACCAACTGGAAGATTGATATAGAGGAAGAGGAAGAGAGAAGAAGAGCTCTAGGGCCTGAACTAATGAACTATCACAGTACACTTAACATATGAGACGATTTTTTTTACAGTTTCTTAAAATAAAATTTAAGTACAAAAATTTATTTTAAGGAATAATATTTTTTATTAAAATTTTATTTTAAGAAACAATAAAGAATGTCCCAAATAAAATCTAAATAGTAAATAGTGCCGTTAAATGTGTGAAGCTTCAATAAAGTGCATAATATTATCAAAATAACAAGTTGAACCTAGTCTAACATAGTGGTTCTTATTTATTTAAAGTTATAAATAAAAATTATTGAATATTATTTGGTAAATGAAATTTTTATCTTAATAATAAATTCTGACATAATTTAATTAAGTCAATATAGTTGAGAGGGTCACCTCAATTAAAATCATCTAAATAGAGAATGGATTTTAGGGAGTGGAAAATATATTTGAATAATTAAATCATTTCATTAGCATTCACGTATTTTTATTTAATTTAAAATAATTTAAATAGCTCCTTTCCCATTATCTCACATTATTCTCTTAATCAATTTCTCTTACCTCTCCTCCATAGCTTATCCCAATTAGAAAAAAATTGCCTCAGTGTATCCTAATTGAATTACTTATCATGGTGAATTCAAAATCATGGAATTTATTTTGCAATTAGTGCAATACATAAAAACTTTGTATTACACTTATCTCATAGCAATATCATGATTCTAAATCACATATTACTAAAATTTTATCAAAATATCCTAACCCAAATTTTTTTTTTCATCTCCCCCCCCCCCTTTTTTTTCCCCCCCCCCCCCCCCCCCCAATGTGCCTCTCTCTAGCAATAGGATAATCAAAAGTATTAGATGATAGAAAGGGTTTAACAACCAGAATTTAATTTAGAAATATTGTAGTTGAGTGCAGTATATCCATCACTAGGAGCAAGTTGAAGATCATAAGCTAGAGAATTTCATTTTATATTTTTACTTAATTATGTGTGTGAAAACTTCATAAGGTATTATAATTGTATGTGTGTGTGACTCGATATGTGTAAGGTGGATTTTTATATGTTAAATTGCTAATGTAATGCACAATTGATTTAATTAAGCAGCTCATGCATAGAGCGAGTGTTGGTCAAGCAAAGAGTTGGGGAGGAGTTTAATGGCAAGACAAACATGATACTAGTGACTAGTTATGATGATTACTAGTATGGGCAACCCCTTTAAAGGTGGTTATTAGTGTGGACCTCCCCTTCCCTTTTCCCTCTTCTTTTCAACATTAATTTTCCCATGTTGTAAATTATATTTAAATATCATTTGCTATGGAATGAGGTGCTTAGACAATTTTGTGACTAAAGTTGGAGTGATTTCCAAGTGACAGCTTGCCTTGATGGTCGGCCATAGGATAAGGGTTTGATAAACTCTCTCACCCACCCAATCATTTTTTATGAGTCAATATATTTTATTATTCTATATTTTGCAGTAATATTTTGTTGTTGTTTTGCATGGTTAAATCTCAACTTAGTTCTAAATATGTTTTATCAAAATAATTTCCGAAAAATTCCCACTTAGATTCACTTATAGAAAATAGTCAAATATGGGCTGAAATATAACCAAGTGTTGTTCCAATTTGGATTTTAATGACCCGAAAAAATTCTAAAAATTATGAGAATCCTAAGAACACATCTTAAGATATCCCACTATCATTAATCGTTAATTTCACCATTTTTTCATCAGTCTAAGCCCCGCCACTAAAATTTTAAACCATAACTAGTCTAATTGGCGAGACATTAAGAACCTAGCCACTTCTAAAATAAATAAATAAATGTTTGGATTCCTCCAAAATTTTGAAAACTTTTATATTACAACTTGATCTTATAATGTAACTTCTTCAAGTGATTTTATGGGTTTTTTTATCAATATTTTTGGAGATCTAATCAATTGAAGTCAGCCAAGTGTTATTTAAAATTTCATGCCCAAACCCAAGGCTGACTCTTATTACACTCCCAACTTGAATTCCACCAACAAATTCACTCCGCCAATTTATTTAACACTTATATAAGACACTTTTGAAGGGTTGAAACGTAATTTAACACTCACCAAGTGTGAGACCTCTAGATTCAGAGTTTTAATCAGACCCAATTGACCTGATTTAGAAAAGGTAATTATTTGAAATTTTATATTATGATCATTTGAATGTGTTTGGGAGTGTATTGGTGCATAAAAAATACTACATATGTTCTAGGATGAATCCCAAAGGCTTGGAGTAAATTTTGAAAAAAAAAATTATTGAAAATTTCACTTTTAGAGTGCCCCAATATTGGTGTCTAAGCGCACTAGCGATGCAATACCAGACGCCAAATAGTGCAATTATAGCGCAATAGTCTCAAATTTCAAATTTTTTGAATTAGCGCTACAGCGCTAAGTGGTAGCGCCAAGGCACTAGGCCACTATTCCATTCTTTTTGATCCAATGAAGTCGACATTGATGAGAGAAAAGAAGGGTTTCTAATGAGAGAAACTTTATTTTGAGCAGCTTCTGGCCCTTTTTAACTGTCAGGATAATTGGAAAAGTTATTCGTCTCGAGGTATGTAACATTTTGTTTATCTCAGTTTTTAATAATTCAATGATTTTGGGATTTTTTTTAATTAATATTTTTGTTACCCGAAAACAAGGATCACTTTGTATTGGTTTAATTTTCATATTGTAACTTTGTATATGCTATAGAGTTTGTGATTATAAATATTTTGAATGTTGTCTAGAACTTTTTTTTATGAGTATTCTGTAATTTGTGTTGTTTTTTATTAAATAAAAAATAATCTATACTTTAAAAATGTTGTCCTAGTATGATTGAAATCTTAAAATAATATTTTATAAATTCTATGATCATTTGGTTATATTATGAAGTGGTGAATTTTGCTTAGTAGTGTTTTTGTTTTCTATCAATAAAACATTTTGGTAATTTCTGAATTGAGTTCAATTATACTTTAATTAATGAAATGCATTAAAAATGTGTATAATGGTGAAAGAAATGCATGAAAATTTGATGTGATGTGATGTTATGTTGAACCAGTGGGCGACTAAGGTGGAATTTTGTTATACTGATGCTAGTGAACAACTGAGGTGGGATTATGTTATGTCTGCGCCAGTGGGCGATTAACTCGAGATTTTGTTATGCCGGCATTAGTGGGTGACTAAGGTGAGATTCTATTATGCTGGAGTCAGTGGGCGACCGAGGTGAAAATTTGATATACTAATGCTAGTGGGAGATCAAGGTAAAATTTTGTTATTCCAGGGCTAGTTGGTGGTCGAGGTGGTATTCTATTAATAAAGATATATGAAATTTGGGCTTGAAAGTCATTATGAAATATTTAATTATAATTCAAAGTTTCTTAAGTTATTTAAAATGCTTTTAAATACTTAAATAAAGTTCAATTTTAGCTTATGTTTCAGTTTTAGCTTTTTATATAATACTTTAGTTTATAGTTACAACATAGTATTTTTCAGTCATTTGGTTTCAGCTATTAATTTTTGTTTAAAGCTATGATTGCATACTGAGCCATGTTAGCTCATGCTTACTTCTACTTCCATTTTTAGGCCAAGGGAAGCATAAGGAGCAAGCTGAATAGTTTTGGATAATAGACCCTAATCTGTGTTGTGGGCATATTTTGGTTAGTTTTAATTTTTTAAGGCTTAATTTTTATTTTGTTATATTGTATGTTGTCAAGCGCTCTTTTAGATATTTCAAATTATATATATATATATATATATATATATTTATATATTTATATTCAATAGTTTTTATCTTTATTTGTATTCAGTAGTGGCTCTGTGATGTATTTAAATTAGAAGTTTTTTTAGTACTTCTCCAATTGGTTCTTGGGGTTTGAGTCTTGCCACAATCGGCCACGGTATGACAAATGTGATATCAGGTCATATCAGCCCAGGTATTGACACCAAGTGGCCTCTCCAACAAGCCACGCCACCATTACTACCCTTTAATATCCAAGTCATGCAACACCTTAAAACACAATGTACTCAATCACCCCCTTCCTCCTTTGAATGTCAAGGATAGATCAATTTTGAAGTACATTTTAGTAAAAACCTTCCCTAACATTTATCCCCTCTAACATCTAATTTAAGTTCCATCATCATTGATCGCATCATCATCAAGCTTGTTGCATCCACTAATTTAAGTTCTCAACAAACTAGTATGGAGGGTGAATGTGTTGGATTATGAAATAGATATTGAGATCAAAAGGTATATATTAAAGTTATTTTTACTTAGTGAATTTATTGTATTAAGAGATAAATGAGATCTCAAAAACTCTTACATTACTTTTGCTTCCTAATATTAAGAGAATCCTTTCATCATATCTTTGTTGTGGATGTTGGTCTATACAATTGAATCACTTAAATATTTTTGTATTTATGTTGTGCTTAGTTTTTATTGTTCACTTATATTTATTAATCTACCAAATTAATAGAGATCATATATTATAATTTATACTTGTCCTCTTATTATCTAAACCCTCAAATTGTGACAAAATTTATATTATTTATGGCAAGGACATATCTCAAAATCTCCCAAAGACAATAATTAAATTTCAGCATATCATTTATAAAATCATCATTCAAAAAATAAATAAATAAATAAATAGAAACACTTTTGATGTCAACAATCATTTTTTTATGAGCAGATCTTGATCAAAATAGATTGCTAGTTATGATGTAATGATACTTATGTAATTTTGCTAGATATACTTCAAATTGTTATAAAACTTTTTTATCCTCATCATTAACATTCATTTCATGAACGCCAAATTATCCTCTACTTGAGAGGCAAACACTTGACTTTATCTTCTTCTTTAAGAAAATCCTAAGAACCATGAGAATTAATTAACCTCCAACCCCCATTTCATATGTCAATTACTCTAAATTCAACTTCAAGTTGTTCTCTTAACCATATTAAGAAGTGTAAGGAATTTATTTGCTAATGTAGAAATACGCCTTCTTATGCAAAAGCCCCACAAAATCCAAGAACATAATATTTGGTTCAAACTTATAAATTGTGATAATAAGAAGGCTCGCATTAAGTTTAAAAGGTATATTAAGATTATAAACTCCTATTTCATTTAGAGAGACCAAGATAAGAAGTGCACGTGAACATAATCACATCCTTGCTCTTGCTTTGTCTTTTGTAAAATCTATTTTTGATGGGTAGTGATGTGAACCTTCCTACATCTATTCTATCACAGGACATCAATTCCATCTCCTTCATTATAAGGCTTCAATGAAACCTTACGATCTTTATAACTGTTTGGTGTTCCTTGTATTGCTCCTTTTGCTATAGGACTTCCACTTTCCTAGCATTTGACTTTGCCATACTTTTGGTAAGGGTTTTTAGTTCTATAGGACTATAGCTATATGATCACTTTAAAAAATATCATATCATTAATAATGTGGCACATGCACGTCAACTCTATGATTTGCCTCAAAATGACATAATTATATTGTAATTAAAGCTAAAGCCCAAATGGTCCCCAATAACTTAGCCAATGAGTTCTGAACAATAAGATAAATCTAATATGACACAAAGCATTATGTTAGATAATGTCAACTAAAACTTGACTCCTTCTGCAAGTATCCATCCCAAGTCTAGTCATATTATGCCTTAAGAAATTGATATATGTCAGTATAAGTGGGGATTTTATGATCGTTAGGTGTTCGTCTTGCAAATCGATTTCACCATAGTATTTTAAATAAAATGTGTTATTTTATTAATATATTTTTTATAATAATTTTTAAAGTCCCAAATAAATTTATGTGAATTTTCTATTATAACTTAGTTCCTACTATAACGTGTATATGATTAGCCAAATATGAAAAGAGAAACATTCCCCAACATGGTCATAAAAAATTTGTGGGCTTTGAATTTTATCTAAATTTTCCTGAGAATGCATGTTTTTTGGTCAAATTTTTAAAAGATAGATTTGACGCAGATAAACCAATACCCATATATTTTGTTGTGAGGACTTTAAAATTTAGTTTTAAATATATCATAGGCACAAATTCCTATAGGTAATAACTTCTAATAATAAGAGAACACTACAATTGAGGCAATTTGATATATATTAAATACTTAACTTATAATAGTAATTTGGGTTTATGATAAAAGAAAAAATTTATCTCCTTTAACATAAAGCGATTGTGGAGAAAATGCTTTCAAACCCAATCAATATCTCATGATTTCGTCATATGAAGTTGTCACAAACTTTAATTTATTTTATTAATGGAGGTAGTTAACCAAACCTAGCCGAAATATCCTTGTTGGTAATTACGAGTTACTTTATCCACGAGAATATTCTAGGTTTGGGATTGATTTTTTCCTAAGGAGAAAATTTAACGCAATGTTAGCTGATAAAATATTTTGTGCTCTATCAAGTGCATCCTACAATTCACACCTCAAAGGACAGAGCCATTGTGGAACATCCTGACTTAGAGCATAATCATAATGTAGTATTATTATTTTACAATAAAAATATCATGCCATAAGTCTTGTATCATAATCATACCTTGGTAGTGTTGTTTTATGCGACTTGATAAGAAAACACATGTTATATCCTTATTAGCATGAGATCTTTTGAGAGTGATTATAACAATAAGCATGATATGATATTGGCTCTTTGTATGTTGAGATTTTTTTTATTATTATTACCATCATCAAACAATTTTCATAAGGTGGGTGAATCATTGCTCTAAGTTTAAGGGTGATAGATCTTATTTGAATTATTTTATAATTTTTTTTTATTTTCTTTAAATTTGAGCTCAAAATTATTTGTTTTTGGATATGCAACCATCTTGAAAATAATATTATTGTTTAAGTGAGATTTATTATCAATATGATAATCATCATGGTAAGACTGTTTGCATTATTTGTATTTAAAATTTGAAAATTTGATTTTAAAATGGACCCCTCTAATTATAATGTGTAATAACCATGCACATCATAGGGATACTTTAATTTAAAAAGATTCATTGCTTGAATTTCATACTATGTCCATATGCCTGTAGAGGATCGAGCTCTTAATTTACATACGATTTGAGTTTATTACAGCTTTGCCCTTTAAACAAAACGACCAACTTGAGAGCTTACATAACTCGATGAGTTTAACTTTTTAAAACGGACTTGAAATTTTTAAAACAATTGCGAGCCTTATAAAATATTTGCACGCTTATCAAAGTGAAGGAAATTTCCATTCAAGTCATTTTCAACTTGCACCAAATTCTTTAAATAAATCATTTAGCATGTTTATTAAAGCATTAAATCAATCATTTAGCATGTTTATTAAAGCACACGCGACTATGTTCAATTTTAAAGAGTTGAACACTTATCAAAGCACATACATGTCTTTTGAGGCATCATATTTGATTTGGAGATTTGCCTCACAAAGCACATGCAAGATGGAATTCTCCAAATTTGTTTGTTCATGTAAATGCCTTATCGTTAGCAAGTGCACAATAAAGAAAAATTTAAAATAACCCCCAAAGTATTCATGCTTGATAAATTTAGTTACAATATCATATTTCCTCAAATTAGTCCCTCATGTTATAATTTTGATGTGAAATTGACCTCAATTTAACCTTAAAATGATTATTTTGAATCAATTTTGTATCATCAAATGACTAAATTTGAGCAAATTTTTAATCAATTTAGTCTTAAAGGCATTTCATCATGAATATAGATAAACAATTTTATCTACAAAAGATAATTTTTTTGTCACCCTAAAACAACAATTTAAAAAAAAAAAAAAAACTAATGCTTCATTTAGGATGGCATTTTTAATATTTTCTAAATTAAAAATTTTGTATTAAAAAACTACATCAGAAAATAGCTAAACAGCTATATAAGTGTTAGCTTAAAACATTTTAACTAAACCTTAAATTATTATAAAAAACAGAAAGAAAACTATCCCAGAGGAGACTATACTTCTCAAATTTAATAGAATTTTGCACATTATCAATGTGAATGGGCACACGTCCTATCTATAGCCTATATATTTAAAAAAAAAAATCATAGAATAAAAAACACCCATGATATATACATATATATAAACTTATCCAAGAAGTATAACTTTCTAATGCATTTTCAAGAGTTTAAAGAGGTGCAAGATGAATGATTAAAACGATAAGGCATTTCATTCCAAACATAGAGCAACAATTTTATCTTCAAAAAATAAATTTTAAACGTCACCATTAAAAAAAAAAAAGACTTAGGTTTCATTTAAACGACTTTTTTATATTTTTAAAACAATTTTTTTAATTAAAAATTATATAAAAAAAATCTGCTTCAAAAAAACAATCAGCCAACTATCCCAAACAAAACCAGAGAGAGAGAGAAAGAGACAATCTCTTATTTTGACCATTTATCTGTCAAAAGCATAGCAACAGCACCACACAATATCTTTAATCTCCCGGATTAGGTCATGCCTAGCAAAGAGGTCAATGAAAGATTTCTCCAACTACATGATGTCAACAATAGCTAATATAAAATAATTTTGATATTTCCAACATATGCGCTTCCTTGCTACTTCATAGATAAAGCTTCAAAGTTCAGTTATAAGGTTCTTCCTATTTTTCCTTTAATTACAGCATCTTCCATTTTACAAGAAAAATAAGCATTTCACCAATGTGATGAGAGAGAACCATGGCAGAATCATAAAATTCTTCTAGAAATAGTAACAGCAAATGGTTAATTTCAAGGTCAAGACAAAATTAAAAAACAAATTTAGAAGTACTTACAATAATAAAGAGGTGAGAGGCCTTGTGTGGGTACTCAACAGGAAAAAGGCAGGGCATAAAGGCATCAAATAAGCTCGTAAAATGGAATTACAAAAAGAAAAAAAAAAAAAAAACCCAGAAACCCTCAACAAAACTGGAGTCCACCAAACACATACCTCTTTGGCTTGCAATCTCTTCCTCCCCTGTTCCTCCAAATCCCGGCCCTTCAATCCAAATTCTGTAAGATCTAAAACTGGATTCAGTTGCTTGAAATCTGACCAAATTTGTGGTATTGTGGCTAAATAACACAAATTTATCAAATAAATAAAACCTAGACCTCCAAGAAAGATCAAATAGCAATCTGGATCAGCACAAGGCAATGAACACTATAGTACTACATTTAAAGTATCAACTGAAAATCTTATAGATGGATCCCTAATCCCTATACATAAAAGACAGCCTAAGGAAAGAAGGGAAGCTGAATCATCACTAACGATAATACCATTTAGCTTGATGAATTTTTCCTTGAAGCGTAGACTCTGTAGGCAGCGAGTCCTACGACTGCAACAGCAGCGCCAACTGCATTGTAGAATGGAATAAAACATATATTTTCAAATACAAATGTTGGGTATTTATGTAAAAAAAAAGTCATTAAATAGAAAATATGATTTACAATGACAATAATAATGATCTCTTTAAATCTGAATGCAATTACTTTAAAAAAATATTAAAAATACAATTAATTTTATCATACTACGAGTGACCACTTTTTTTGCTCCATCTTTCAAACTTCCAAATTTTAAAATTCCAAAGAGGGGAAATATCTCAACTAAAGATTTCAGATTTAGAAAGCCTCATATGAGATACTACGTTCACTCTCCCAAAATTTTAAATCTGCACATTATAAGAGAACCGCATTCTAAAAATAAGCTTCCCACAATCTCACTTTTTATTCTCTCCTAAAATTTCCTCACTAAGGCAATGTAAAGCCGAGTTTGAGCAAATTAGAAGCTCCCTTGCAATCCATGCATTTTTTAATATAATGCCTACCAATAAATGCATAGATATATAGATTGCATTAGATTATTTCTTATTTTAAAATTAATTCTAAACTCCTCCCCTTCACCCCAACATTAATTTTGAGTGAGCCATTTTTGAATCTAAGCAAAGCTATTTAGATTTTAATTCAGTTAAACCTTGGTCAATTTTCACACAATTTTTAATTTCCAATATAATTATCAGCTACATAAAAATACATAGATATATAGCATTAGATTATTTTATTATTTAAAATTAATTCTAAAATATGTTTAAAACATATAATAGTTAAAGAGTGAAATTTTTTAATATATATGAATTTAAAAAATGCAACTATTGTAAGGCATAATATGCCAATAATATTAGGCTAGACAATAAATGTATTAAATGTAATTGATTTGATACATATAAGTATATAACAACTTTTGATTTTTCTCATTTCTGATTCTTTCTTTCCCATGTACTAATAGGAAATTTTTTTAAGAAAATATAGAAAAAAAAAAGTAACCTTTTGAAATGGAGCCTCCTCATGCCTTCTAATTTTTTTACTTTATTCTCCATCCTCCCGTTTCCCTTACTATATTCCATTTAGATATATTGACCTTAAGAAAAAACTATAGTTAAAAACTATAGTTCTATGAAATTTTGGCATCATACCTGAAACAAACATGAGTGAACGATTCACCAACCGTCGATATTGTTTTCGATGTCTTCCAACTTCAGTCTCAGGAATGCTAAGATGGGGATGCTGTGCGGCAGTAACAATCCTGCTAAATACATTATTCAAGTCCCTTAACTTCAAACTGACTGGTATGGGAGTTTCAATTCCCATATCCTGGCTTACCTGCAAAAGGTTGAACAGAAAATCCACTTAATCAAATGGCATCTCAAGTCTTAAATGCATAAAGCAAAATTGCAATAATCAAAGCCCAGCTCACGCTCAAATCAGCAGCATCTAACATTTTTCTTAGGCGGCAACTTAACCAAGAAATTATCTTAGTCTCCTTCACAAGGGAAGAACTTAACCAAGATAAGAAATGATATCTGATAACAACTAGTTGGCGATAAAATGAGAAGGAATTCCTTTTTGTGATCCAACTGCATCACTCTGAAGTATAACTGATTGTTGCTACACAAGAGAGAGAAATTTGGTGGGGAACAAAGAGAGAGAGTGAAAAATGCATGAGAGAGAGAGAGAGAGAGAGAGAGAGAGCGAGATGGAAAGGACAGTAACCAAGCGAACAATCAAGAGAACCGGGGAGAGAGGAAGAGGGTGTAGAGTAATATCACAATGCAAAACTTTAAAAAAATATGTGATTATACATGATAAATTACATATAACATACAGCTGAATATTAGAATCAAACTAAAGGTTAATTAAAGCACTAAAATGTAAACCATCATTAGTAGCTGTCAAATGAAACCAATTCAATTGAGGTAAAAACGAAGTGAAAAATATACATTTTTTGGAAGTTGAAAATAGTCATCTCATTCAAGGAGAGCCACTCATGCAAAGTGCCAAACCAAGTTTGTGCACACGACATAAACTTCACCCAGTTCCATGAGCTCAATGACACAGAAACTAATGCTTACCACTCTGGAATGGAGAATAAATAATGTGCCTGAAAAGGCGCAGTCGTTGATCACTCATAAAAAACCAACTACCTTGCATCAAGTGATGTGAAACGTAAATGCCATGTACTTGACTAGGTGGCAAGATTAATTAAATCCCAAATTAATTTGGGGAGAGAGAATAGAAATCTGAAATTAAATTTCAGATTCAGTGGAATTGGTGGGATGAATTTGAATTTAAATTCAAATTTAATGGGGAGAATTAAATTGGATGAGAGGGAATTGTGGGAGGTAATTATAGAGGCTTAATGAGGGGGGCTATTAATGAGATAGGAGAGAGATTATGCCCAATGAGGGGGCCGGCCACATAGAGAGAGGGAGGAGATTATTTGTCATAAGTAGAGTGGGGCCCACATTACTAATCAAAGATTTAATAAAATCTGAATTAAAATTCAGATTTTGAACTCAAGAACTCACAAAGAGATCTTGGGAATCTCGGAACTCACAAAGAGATCCTTCTCCTCTAATGAACTCACGAAGAGATCAAACAAGTAGAATAAAATTTCATTAACAATTCATCATTGATCTAATACAAGAGCAAGGGCCTCTATATATAGGTCTTAAAAGAAACTAAAAGACAAATTTGCCCCTTGGGCTTACACAAGACAAGTTCCTTAAGGGTAAAAACAGAAAATGCATAATTAAATAAAAGTTACAATTAATAAACTAAGATAAAATGGAGGGATCTCGGTTGTCGATCTTCGTCTCTTCCTTTGATTAACGTCCACCGTCGGATGTCCGCATCATCAAACATGCTCCATATGATGGGAAACCAATAGTTTTCTTATATGACGAAAATAACAACATCAAGCCTTTATCCCACTACGTGAGATCGGCTACATGAATCATTTTTCTCTATTGTGTCTTGTTGACTCAATAGTTTGTCTTATAATAAATTAAATTTCTTTTAACTAGAGTTCTCTTGATGTTATATTGGGATTTACTTAAATATGAAGTGGAAACTTTCTAGTGTACAAACCCTCATTTTTAATTATTCCTCCCACAAATGCGAGAGAACTCTTGATTAAGGAGATTGTATAAGCTCAAATTTTAGACTCAAGGTTCAATATTCAGGTTTAAAGTAAATTGATGAAGAATGGCTATAGGAAATTAAAGAAAAAGTGACAAACACGATCAAAATCCCTCGATTCCATCAAATCAGAATTATTTACAACATATTAATATAAAAGTAGAGCAACTAAAACAACATACCCTCGTTGTATCCTGTATGGCCAGTGGATAGGGATCAAGATCATCTTTAGAAGAAATAATGAGGCACGGCACCTCAAAACCGCTATTTTCACCATGAGTTGCTACTTGAATAAGCAATTCGGTTGCCTTGTTAAAAGAGCTGGCATCAGAACTGTGAAAGTGGGAAAATTAATAATTTGAAAACTCAAAAAGATATGATACAGCAACCAAAACTATGGGGAATCATATAAAGTTAAATAAGGAATCAAATGCATTCCTAAAAGGAAAAAAATTGCAGGAATAACCATTGCCTATAATTCATTGTTTAAGATAAAACCAAAGTAGTTTTACCAACAGCCATCAGACAATATAAGGATTTCTTTTCTTTTCAAGCTTGGGTTGAACTTGATACAGAACGTAGATGATTCAATCAGGCCATGAAATAATTAAACTGCATCTACAATACAATCTTGATGAGGACTAGTTATCATGGCAATCATAGATAACAAGAAAAAAAAAGCCCAACATTCTAATAATAATTTAGTAAAAGTAAAAGACATGCCCAAAATGTATCACACCTATACGTTTACCTACTGGATCCAAAAAGAAAATGAAATTCTTGATAAAAAAATTAAAGAATTTTAAAAAATATAAGAAACACCCGCACTGCAATAAGGTTAGTTTTCTAATCTTATATTTAACCCTTTCTGTAGTAAAAGGCATTACCTAAATTACATTACACAGTAGTGCATTTAATGTCGGAGTAATGAAAAGTATGGAATAACAATGCTGAAAAAAAAAAAGATTTGCAAAAATTAAAACAAAGCTTTTCATAAAAAAAAAACAAATATGCTCAACAACAACAATAATATCAAGCCTTTATCCCCATATATGGGGCCGGCTACATGAATCCTTTTTCTCCATTGTGTCCTGTTAAGAGTCAAATTCTCCTTTAAATCTAATAAAAAATGTCATTCTAATATTTTCTAATCAAATCATTTTAGGTCTACCAAAAAACAAGTATGCTCCTAATCATAAAATTTAATGGAAATGAGCACATCAACAACTATAACTTAAAAAATAATAAATGACATTGCAGGCAAAGGAAACTGAAAACATGATCCAGAACCTAATTATCGAAGTGATTTAATGAAAATTTTGTCCCTGCCGAAATTCAGTTGGCATACTTTGATTCTTACAAGAAAAGTATCAAAATATATGGAGCAAATTATTGGAAGGAAAACTATTCAGTTAACTTATATATACACAGAGATGTTTCACCCAAATCATAACTAGAGTATTTTTCTTCTTTGGGCAAGAAAATTTCACTTAAATATAGACCTACCCCAGATCATAATCAACTCCAATATTGGGCTTAGACAGCTGAATTTATCAATTATAATTAAACAAATACCATAGATCAATTTTGCAATCTGAAATTATAATAATGAACCACTTCATGATGCGTAGAGTCCCTTTTCCACATCTTAACAAGCATTCACCATGCAAACTATAGCCATGTTCTGTTTAAATTCAACTTCATATTTATTTAAAAAACAAATACTAATGTTGATAAAATCATTTTTGTTTATTTTTGGAAAATAAGATAGAATGCTTTCAGAATTTATGAAGACACAAATTGTTTCCAAAATAGAATTTCCCAAATTCCTTTGATCGAGATTGCTCAATCACTAAACTCTTAACCATCAAGCCTCACCTCAAATCCCTTGGTTCGTTGCCTCATTGCAAATCTCTCGGATCGACACCTTGATTCGTTGTAGATTACTCTCAACAGCTAAGCCTAGCCATAAATCCATCTCCTCACTTGAGACTTGAGGTAGATTGCTCAAAACTGCCGAGACCTAAAGTCGTTGCAGCATCTATACTGCAAGAATACTGCAAGTCTCCTAACTCTCTATCCCAGCTTTCCTCCAATTCTTTTGGGGTTTTTTTCTTTTTTTCTTCTATGCTTTTGATCTGAAAGCAGACATCATTACTGTATGGTTTTGCAACTGCATTGACATGAGCTCTCACTAAAAAACTTCTGAATGCATAAAACTAAAAAGCATTCCACTTTAATTTTCTACAACAACAACAATAACAACATCAAGCCCTTATCCCACCATGTGGGGTCGGCTACATGAATCCTTTTTCTCCATTGTGTCATATTAAAGGTCAAATTCTCGTTTAAATCTAATAAAGAAAGGTCATTCCTAATATTTTCTAACCAAGTCTTTTTAGATCTACCTCTACCTTTCTTAACATAAGTCAAATCTAATAACTCCTTATTTTTTCTATATTTCTCCATCAAACCTCTTAATAAATGTATGGCTTCCATAGTTGACCTGCCCGGCATGAATCCAAATTGATTTTGAGAAACATTAGTATCACGCCGCAACCTATGCTCCATAACTCGCTCCCATAGTTTTAAAGTATGACACATTAACTTAATTTCTCTATAATTCACACAATCTTGTGAATCACCTTTATTCTTAAAAATGGGAATTAACACACACATTGTCTACTCATCTGGTATATTTTTAGTTTTCAAAATATATACATATATCTTTCTCCCTCCTTAGTATATAATCTATTATATAAATCACTAAAAACTAAGGTCTTTGCATTGCATATTGCTTTTTTAGATTCCTTACGAGCCTCTTTATATCTTTCCCAATTATCAGGATTTTTAAAATTAAACAAATTTTTATAACAAATTTTCTTATTCTTAATCTTTTCTTGCACATTTGGATTCCACTTTAATTTTCTAATCTAAATTTTTTTATTGTGCCCAGGATCTCGCAATCTGACTTTTTAGTTTAAAAGAGGTAATCATAGCCTATTCATCATCAAATAGAAATTGGGATTAGATTTGTTCTAATATATGTCAAATCTATTTTTTTATATAATTAGTATTGTGAGTGTAATTTCATGATCTACAAAATAGGATTACAAAATACAAATAATTACCTTGATGTGTATTTTCTAGTTGATTTGTTATTATTAGATGTTGCACTAGAAATTTTTATGCATTGCTGTAGGACGCAAGAAATCATTTTATACATATAGTTAACTTTTTTTAATTAGAAAATTTTAAAAATTAATAAAATTAGTGGATGAAAAAAATGACTTGTGTTGTTTTGCATTTGAGAGTGACTAAGATGCAGTTTAGATGAGTGGATATATAACATAATAAGATAAGAATGAATAACAAATTAGTCAGCTTATAGAAATAGGGTCATTAAGGAAGATAGAAAAACAACTATCAGCATTGCATCATGGACGTGCACTATGAGTAGACTTGAAGCAGCCATAACAGAAAGCATAAGGTGTCTTTGGTTTATAATTTCTTTCATTTATATAAGATTAATATCATAGAATCAAACACCAGTTTAATGATAATATATAGGTGCATAAAATGCGACCATGTTTAGCAAGAAAGGATGTCCAATGAATGAATGTTATCTCATATTTTTTGGTGACACAAATGTCACAAAAATTTTCAACAATCAACTTCAAAAGCTCCAGATACACAGAAGAGAGTCTAGAAAATCAGTTAAGCCAAAAGAAAAAGCTAGAGGAGATTTAGAGGAATGACGTAATTTCAGTTGGAAGAGTATTTAGATCAAATAACCCTTTAAACGAACAAAGAAACAAAGCATTTCAAATAGTACTGCTAGTATTCTACAGGTCTTGAGTGAGCTAAAAAAACATTGTAAAAAATGGAATATATGACTTTCCTTAAATAATCTGGATGTTACATTCCTTTATTTATCCACATTCTTCAACTAGTTAGTCCAATACACGATAAAAATTTTGAAACATATCACAACAATAAAAAATAAAAGGAAAAAAAAACCATGCCCTAAAATTACCTGTCGTGGACAAAAACAGCAATGTCGCAAGCTGCTAATGACTCCTTATTTGAAAGTAGCTTCTTCACTGAATCTTCAGGAATTTCTCTCATTACAAGAGTCTTCTTAATTCCCTTTTTTAAGAAACAAGTAATTAAAAAAGAAGAAAGAATATTTAAAACAAAATAAATAATTATTTAATTAAGAGAAAATTATCATGATGCTCGAAAACAGCTCAGTGATAACGCATCATCAAGTGATGTCAAGCAATGCTTTCAATAATACATTATAACTGCATGCATTTCCTCCAATATATCACATATGAATTCGTTACAACAAACATTAGAATAACCAGTAAGGCAATTAATATGAGTATATTGTTCAAAAGAAGCAAAAATAAAATGCTACTGCAATATCAATATCTTTGGCTTCGTAGTTAGGTGTATAATGAGCTATTTTTTAATCTTTAATATCTGCATTAAATCGACCTCTTGCTTAGTCTATGTATGTTCCTTCTATAACTAATGAATTAAGAATTCTCAGAGCTAAATGATACAAACTAAGCATTAATGAAAACTTTGGCCAAAATCTTTTCAATTCAAAAAGTAAATTCAGCTAAACCATTAGCATCAACTAATCAATAATGACATGAACTAAGCAGTCCATAGAACAGCAGAAAAATGATAAAGTGAAATATTCAAGTTTTCAGATTGATAAAATAAAGCTTTCCAAATCAAAATGTTCACAAAAACAGGACTGTATCTTTACCAAGAGAACGGTATGACAAATTCAAGTAGCTGACTTTAGTGAAATAACTTATACAAGGACCTGGATGCTAGATGTTGATGAGCAAAAACAGATAAAATAAAAACTAGAAAGCAAGCCAAAGCATGCGAAATATGTCCGAGTTAATAAGCTAATGACGCATATAAAAGACCAAGTTAGTTTCAAATATAAGGATCCATTAATCGTTCTTCTATTTTTTACACAAGAATGTCCTATGTGACATATTTCATAGGAATAATAACTGGTAGATATTTTTTATGATTGCATTGGTTTACCTGGTGAGATAGACCAAATCCAGCCAGGTTAGTCTCAAACACAACAAGCAGGTTGGTTAGGAAAAACTAGGCCAGCAAGGTTTCATTTGAACTGAGAACCCAAATGATGAGGACATCGTCAGTGATTTCGACACGTGTACCATCGGAGACACCGGAGATCGACGGCCACGATCAGGAGTTTATATTTTGAGTCATTTTATGTAATAGTTTATTTTATTTTTCAGTTTATACTATTTTACCCTTATGGATGGTCATTTGATATTGTAGCCCCGAGGGCATTTATGTCTTTTAGTTTTTGTTTCATTTTGGCCTATTTATAGGAGGCCTCAAGCATTGTATGAGACAATGATGTTTTTAATGAATGAAATTTTCTCTTTGATCTCTTTGTGAGTTTGTGGATTTTCCAAGATCTCTTTGTGAGTTCTTGAGGAAGTGGTGCTTGTGGATCTCGTTGTTAGTTCCATTTGAGAAGGTGCTTGAGGTTTGATTGCTCCGGATCTTCCCGATCCTCAAAACCCCTCTTCCCCTTCTCTCCCTAGCCGAATTTCTTCTCCCCCAAAAATTTCCCCCACCGGCCCTCTTAAGCCCACCGCCGGCCACTCCGGCCGATCCCGCCACTGGCGGCTCCGCCAGCCTCCCCGGCCGCTGTCATCCGCCAGCTCCAGGCAGCCGGATCCAGGCCACCAACCTTGCCGCCGGCCCCTTGGATCCTCCCTCTTGTTTGAATTTCATATTTCTCTTGAGTAATTCACTTTCCTAATTAGCTTCTCTCCAATTAAGAAAGTCAATTAAGAGGATTAAAGCCTATTTTGAAATTCAAATTTTGTTTCCCTCTCATATTAAACCTATTTGAGAAGTTACTTAAAATATAATCAAATCTGAAATTAAATTTCAGATTTGATTAGGTTTTTATTTACTTAACCTTGGACCCCACTTACTTAACTCAGCTTCTCTCCCCTCCCCAATATGGCCGGCCCCTTTAATGGGCTCTTCTCTCTCCCAAATTACATTAAAAGCTCCACCAAATCAGCCTCTAATTATCTCCACCATTAACACCCCTAGCCATTATTGACTTAATTTGAAATTTCAAATTAATCTCCCTCCAAAACCACTTGAAGCTGAAATTATTTTCAGTTTTCTAAATCCCTCCCTCTCCCTCTAGCTCACGGCCAACCCCCTCTCTTCCCAAACCGCCACTTCCTCCTCCCCTTTCCCTCCCTCTTCTCTTCTCCATTTATTACGAACATGAATGGCGGATCTGGAATTTGATCACGGATTTGCGTATGACTTTCAAGGAGATATCGCGTCGTCCACTCTCCATTCTTTGACGTTGGGTTCGGCTTTGACCACACCGTCGAGGATTACTTGAACCGTATTCTTCCCACCCTCGTGGACGTCATCGACGAACGACTTCCGGCCGACGATTGGATCATCAACAGGCGTCCACCATCTTCCCCAAATTCGGCTTCTTCCCCGGCGACTAGTCTTCTCGGCGTCACTTGTGTGATAGTGGCATCGTTGAGTTTGTGCGCCATCCTCTTCCGCTAACCGAGTGAATCCAAGAGTGAAGTGAAGGATTTCAAAGTGAAGGATCTATATCTTAAGCCTTGGATTTTTGTTAAGAGTCATTTGCTTTATTACTTATCCATTGGATTAATTTTGTTGGTTTCATGTTGCTTCTAAGGTAATTGGCTGACATTGCTTAGTTCTTCCATGGAAATTTCTTACGATCTTTCTTGGAACGCATTTGTTTTAAATTAGCAACGCAAGTTCACAAGTTATTAATTTCTAACTAGCAATTCTTGTCTATCGCATTTAGTTTCACATCACCAAAAGGTCATAGCCTTATATAGGCTGAATATATAGAATGTAGAGGCAAGATGGGGATCAAACTAGACCCTAAGTTTTTATCATCACGCTTTAATTACTATAACAAGAAACACATCTCTAATAATGCCTCCACGATTATATTAACATGCACAAAGCCAAACCTTCTACAATTGTATATTATCAAAACTTTGTAATACTGAAAATTGAAACAATATTTAGATTCTAACAATGATATGATAAAAAGAACAGATAGAGGAAAGTTAATTTCAAGAAGTTTATAGCTAAAAAAAGAATGCTGGGTCATTGTGAAGAGATTTCTCAATGTCTTCGAGAAATTTTCAATTTAAATTCCAATAATTCCAGCAAATAATGAAAATATAAAATGCATGGCTGAAATCATATATTTCATTGTCAATTTGCCAAAATGCAATGTCACGAATATGGGCAGTGTTCTTAAAATCAAAGTACAGAAATGATGTCAGTTTGGACAATATACACATAACAAAATATTAGAAAATCAACTTACTCCGGGAAGCTCAACTACATTTGCAGCGAACCGCTCACTGGTTGTTGGGGTATACTTCTCAGAAAAGGCCCTAATCAAAGCAAACATTAGCAAAAAAATTTAAAATAAAGTATAAAAAAACACTAAATGTGACCTTTTCTAGAAAAAGATGAGGGGAATAAAAATATCCTTGCCCACCTTCCTATTAATGAACCTAGCAATGCAGATTTTCCAGCGTTCTTTGGCCCAAAAACAAAGCACTGTAGAACATTGCGCTGAGACTGCTGTTTTTTGCGATCTTGACGCCTCCGTCTGGTTATATGAAATGCTAAAGCAGGATCACTTGTGTATCCAATGTATATGAGGTTAGCCAAACTAGCAACTGGGTCAAGAAGCGTCATCAATGCCCACTGCAAAAACAAACAAATACTAATGATGCTTCTTTCTTAATGAAATCATCATCAGACTGCCTTTGGTGTTATTTGATTAGTAAAATAAACACAAGTTACAAAAGATTAGTGTATCACACGCTAGGTTAGTGTATAAATAACTAAGATCTAACCACATAAATAAATTTTAGAACACAAAAAACAGGATCAATTAGAAAGTATCAATCAGAGAATAATTAGGAAAATGATAAATTTTATAATTGAAATGTTGAAGAATAACCGCTAAAATTGTAAAAAGAATTTTAAAAGAAAACTTTTGACCAAATAAAAAAATTATGTAAAGATTATTATGCTTAACCTTGAAAGTTCATGAATTGATTCAGTACGCAACATTGATGGAAAGATAAAAGCGATTGTACAAACAAAAATAAGGTGATTATCTAGAAAATTTCACCTCCTCAAAATAAGCAATACAAATAGCCTGATTATTACCTTTTACCAAAATTTTAAAAACAATGCCATGTAATCATCATAACCCTCAAAATTACATTCCTACATTCAATGGTAGGTTTAACCTTGAGAAACTTTCAAAATGAATTGATAATTTGGAAGACATTCTTTAACATTATAATCTACTTAATTATGAAAGAATGGAAATTGCTAACATGCATTAATGGGAATTGTTCAAGCTTCAGAATTTTTAGAGTAGACCGATAACTAAGAAAGCATTCATTAACAATCTCATTTATTTGATTCAGAAATAGTGAAAATTGCTAACCCATAATAAGTGGGGAATGCTCAACCCTATTGTCTTTTTTTTTTTTTATGGAAAAAAAAAGGCAAGAGGGTTGAGCATTCCCCACTTATTATGCTCAACCCTATTGTCATAGCATTGCAAGTCAAACAAATTAGCATATGTTAACATGAAACATAAAGAGCATTTTGTCATTTAAAGAATATGGTGACCAAATGCATGATCAATTTATAATTTATAAACAAATGTTTCTTGCAAGGTTGATTATTAAGATAGATTTATCAATCTTGTAACAAAGAATCAGTTACCCTAGGTCTATTATGTTACCACTATATATTTTATTAAAGGCCATAGATAAGAGATTAGGAATGAATTAAGTACAACCCTCCAAAACATTACGTGAAGATTCATCTAGAATTCTACACCTTCAAATAATAAATATCAAGACACATTACGACCATTTTATAATGATTACTGCACATGCAATTCAAATCCCTAACGTAACTCATAATTATCACCTCTAAAACCTATCAAGCATAAACCGTAAAAACAACATGCATAGTAAACTCTAATCTTATAAAAATAGTAATTCATGAATATTCTTATGAGCATGTTTCAAACATAACAGATGATTTGATGTTACAATATTAATCTAAATTTGATGATGTTGAATAAAAATCTACACTACGTTTGAATAGGAGTTGAGAGTTACAATCCACATTTTACCATAGAAACAAAATTGGAAACTGAAAATGAGCCTACAATTATACCCGAACTTAAATTACAATTAGAATTTAAATCTAATACAGAAGATATGAATGTTGAATGAAAATTATATCCACTCTTGAATATAAACCTAAATTTCAAGACAAAATTGTATATATCCTCAAATATAAAAGTTAGCAAACCATATATATTGCAATTGATGAATCAAGTAAAGAAGTTGATTTAACTATTAATGATGCTCCTAATAAGATTAATTCTAAAAAACAAACTATAACTGATTTATTATTGTTTGTTGAATGTATATATCCCATAAATAAATATCTTATAAAAAGAATAAAGTTATGTTAACATTTCAATGAGTTAGTTAATAATTAATATATTCAAAGAAACCTGATAAATCTAGTCAAAACTAAATGTGTACAATTCATCACAACATATCTTTAACCCAATTGATTTAATTTTCTTTAAAGAATATGTTTATTCATATAGGCATAACATAAATGTATGATTTTCTTGCTTCAAATTTTCTTTTATCTTTCCCTCGAGAAACTAAGTATGGGTCTTTTGGCATCCCTAATTATGCATATTAATATTTTGATATTTCATTGCTTGTTTTATATCATTTGCATGATTTCCATAAAATATTCACTGAAAATTGACTATTGATTATGAAAATTACAAAGTCATTGTTGATAAGCATAAGAGAATTGAAATTCAAATCAATAATAAGGTAGTGATATGTCTAGATTTTAAAAAGTTTCTAACACGAAGAATTAACAAATTAATTGCAAGAAAGACGAGGGAAAAAACGCACAATGCATTGAGATGAATGCTTATAAATTAAAAATCTAAAGAGTTTTAGTATTAATCCAAATTTTGATGTGTTAGTTACTACTCATGTGTTTCCGTATCAACCCCCTATGGTAAATGTATAGTCGAAAGATACATCATTTTATGAATTTTCCTGCACTACTGTTAGGGGTGGCTCCGAACTAGAACCATAGCTACGGCAGATCTTCTCATTCTCTTTGATTGTTAATTCCTTATTTTTTGAAGTTAAATATCTTACTACTATAGATAGAATCAAAGATTGCTTTGTTTTCCTTATATATATGTGTATGTGTGAATTTTAATCATTGGGTGGCCTTGTTTTGCTCTCATATCTTGAAAATTTTAAAATTTTAATCATCTCTAAATTATTTTTGAAGCAATGAGTTTTCTAATTTTACATCAAAGAGAGGAAGTTTTTGTCGATGAAGTGTTCATGGACCACAAATTTTGATACTTGCCATGCTTCTTGTGCAACTCATCCAATGTTTACGTTGAAAAAACTCTCAAGTCCTAGCATTTCATACTTCAAATAGTTAAATGAATTAAGAATACACAATAGTCAAAGCTTTAGATTTTAAGATTAAATATTTTCCTTACTTATAATACAAATAAAACTATTTAAAATAAAAAAAAAACAAACCTAAATTGCATGCTAGTTTGCATACCGCCAAAAGAAAAAGGAAAACAACCATGATAGAAGAATCAATGAAGGATAGATAGAATATTCATATATTAATAATTTCAACTACAAAGCCAATAAAATTTTGCAACTGAGGGGATTGTCAACACTTTTTAAAAGCATAAAATAGTATTATCAAAGCTGTCAGATTTACAAAAAATAATCAAAACTTCAGACCTCTCTTCAGCATGTCGCCAACAAAAAAAGATATCTACGATCCAGTTAAATGCCGCCTTTGCATTTGACAAATGCTGGCAACCGAACAAGTGGCGCAAGAAACTTCATGAATAATCCTTCATAACAAGCTGTAACTCTTCCTTCCTCAAAATTTGCAATCATTATATTGTTCACACCAACCAATTAAAATAATAGTATATATTTGATTTTCAGCTTGAAGTAAAAGACTCACAAACACTTGGGTTACTGCAAGCCTTATTGTTTAGTATATAAATTCAAAAAAAATACAAAATTAAAGGATTTAACAATCAGCCAAAGAGCTTGAAATAATAGAAAAGCTTTCTTAAACAACTAGCACATAGGGTAGGAAGCCGCCAAGCCATTTTTGCAGAAATAAGACCTTTCAGCACACTAGCAAAAAAAAAGTGCAAATGATTAAAAGAATCAAACAAATACCAAAAGTTGCAGAAAACTTTTCAGGGTATCCAAACTTATACTCAAATAACTAGTACTAGGCGTGCATTCTGTCAAACATTTAGAGAGAGAGTGAGAGAGGTTATACATACTTGAGAGATAAACCCTTCAAAAGACAAACCACCCAGTACATTCCTTTCAGCAGCATCCTTGTAGGGATATTCAGACCAGGGGCTTTATCCAGGAAAAAAAAAGAAACAAAGAATTAGGATCATTGACAGGTTCAAAATTTTAGTCGGCAAAAAAAATTCTAAGGAATGTCAGGCCCATCAAAAAGAAACTGGCCCGATTTAGAAAGAAGGAACATGATTCTATTCAGTTTACCACCCAACCCTCACGCATTGTGCCCAAAAGCAAATACAAACATAAATAAGAATAAGATAGAAGCACCAAATACAAGTTATGCACTTTTGTATGTGTGGATTATGCAGGTGGTGTTGACCAAGTACGGGAGAAGTAAATTCATGCATACATTATAGACTAGTTTGATGTGGTCAACCGTCTAATCTTGAAGCAGGGAAACAAAGTTGTTCGCCCAGGAAAGAAAATGTTGTGCTACGGCACAAACCCTGCTTTCACAAACTTAAGGTCACATTTTCCCTGAGGTAGATTGGAATTTAAATGAACCAGATTTCCACATCAGGGTTTATTTAGTTATGAGGTTCCACTATGAGCGCAAGCCCTCATAGTTAATTACCCCTCCTAACATGTATAAGAGAACTCTTGAGTAAGGATGATTGATTTTTAGATGCGCAAAAGATTTAAATTTTGGTTGTGGGGGGATGGAGATAAACCCGATCAAAATCTCATGGTTCTGTTGTCACGAGTATACCTTAAATTTCAATCTACCAACATTAACAACCGTTGATTGTAATGTCTAGGGAATCTGATTAGCAATCATGGGTTGTCTCCTCTCATGGATCTCCAGTAAACTGAAGTGGAAGGATGTAAGTTGATTTAATTTGAGTTGAGATTGGCGGCTCCACTTGGGGATTGCACGTAGTTTAGATTTAGGTTGAGTCTTACAGCCTCGTTTCGAAGTTGCCGGTAGTTTAGAATTAGGTTAGGTTTTATGGCTTCGTTTAGGAGTTGCCTATAATTTAGCCTTAGGTTAGGTCTTATGGCCGCGTTTAAGAGTTGCATGTAGTTTAGACTTAGTTCAAGTCTTGTGGCCGCATTTAAAAGTTGTCTATAGTTTAGATTTGGGTCAGGACTTACGGTTTTCATTAAAAGTGGCCAGTATAGTGGGTCATACAGCTTCTATTAAAAATAATCTATATAGTGTTTGGTTGGTATAACTTATTGCTTGGGTTTAAGAGCTTTCGGGTTCTTCATTTAGAAGTGCCTCGAATAATGGGTCGCACTGCCTCTATTAGATGTGCCTTATTGTTTGGGTTTATTACTCCCCTTGGGAGGGTTTATAACTCCCCTTATGAGGTTGTGTGCATTAGCGTAACTAAAATTTATCCTATTTTAGCTAGTAGTTGCCTGTTAAGCTAGCTTTAAAGTAGTTACATACCCCACCACCCGACACTAGTGCTTTCTACCTTAGCCCTCAGTAGCGTACTGTGGTTTTGTTCATAGTAGTGCTCGTAGCCTTCCTACTTTAGCAGAAACTTTACTTGTTTGTTTCAGCAATAGTCTGTTTTAGTACCTGTTTGTTCTCTTAGTACTAGTTTTCTTCTACCAATACCAGTTCTACTTTACTAGTATCAATTCTATTTTTTTCCAACACAAGTTTTTTTTATTTACACTGTGCTGACTTTCATCTACTTGTTTGTAAGTGCTCGTAGCTTGTAGTTACAGGAGTTGAAGCTTGCTAGAAGTTGGAGGGGTTTAATTTAAGATTTTTGGAGCTTTTTTTTATTTATAATTTGGTTAGTTTTTTAGGAGTCCGGGTTTTAGCTTGAGTTGTACATTGTCTGATCGTGTGAACATTGTTCTTTATTTTATTTACTACATTTTATTTTATGTTAAATAATTCCATTACTAATTAGGTTAATTAATTAAAATTTAATTTTACTTTAATTAATTAAAAGATTTAAATTTTGTTTTACATTAACTATTCAGCTCGTTAATTTATTTAAATGTATTTTAAAATTATTTAATTATTAATTAAATTGTTTTCTCAATTAATTTCATCAATTTAAAAGATTTAAATTGATTAGTTAAATGATTTATTAATTAAAAAAATTTAAATTTAAATTGGTTAATTTTAATTCAATACAATTTACATATTTTTATTGATTTTTTTAAAATTAATCAATCATTCATTTAATTAATTAAACATAAGAATTTTAAAGATTTAATTATGTTTTGATTTTAAAGTTCCAACTTATTCAATTAAATAAATCTTATTTTAAATTTAGATTTTACTGATTTTAAAATTATCTAATCAGTTATTAAATTAAGTTAATTGATTGAAAAAGAAAATTTAATTAATTATTAAAGATTGATTTTTAAAGTAATTAATTGACTATTAATTAAATGAAAGCTCTCAAAATATTATCCAAGATTATAGTAGCTTTTTGGGCGATTTTGGCAAGTCCCCATAAAGGGAGGTCAGGAGGGGACTTGCCCTTTCTAGTCCGCCCAGCCAGCTAGAGTTCAATGGCCAAGGGTTTTGGGACGTTGCTTGTTCCGAAATTAGTCTTCGAGTTCTTCTGAATGAGATCGTGACGCCTCCTTTATTTTATTATTATTATTATTATATGCAAATGGCCCTTCCTCTTCCTTGTTTGAACAAGAAAGCAAGATTATGAATTCAGACATAGCAAATCGAGTAGGAGCCGTTCGAGTGTAGAGGAGGCCGAAGATCTGATCAGCTGGGCTGGTTTAACCGCGAGAAGGATTATAAGTAGATGAATCAGACAGGGAGGTGGGCTCAGAGGCTTACAATTCATGGGGTTATTACGTTCAGCCACAGACGGATTAAAAGATTTGCGAGCAAGATGGGTCGTTGGTCCCACGTACAGATGGAGGAGGCCCGATTGTGTAGGATCGATGCTATTGGAGGTTGGGTTGGGTTGAATTCGGAGAGGAGGAACAGACAAAGGTCAGAGGTTTCGCAAGCGGGAGTTCAGCTTAGGTATGTAGCAGCACGGGTTGGGTGTGGAGCAGAGTAGGAGCCGCGACAGGGCAACAATTGTGGCCTAGTCCAGCTTGTGAGGTGCGGTTGAGTTGTTTGTGGTGTCAGGGCTGGACAATTGAAGAAGGGAAATCGCACGGGCATCGCCAGTTTGTGCGTAGTGTGCTCGAGCTCAGATCCGAAAGCAGAGAGAGCAGGCGGATTGCAATTCTACAGATTGATTTAGGATCAGAGACGGGCAGGAGGTGCCGAATAGCCAGAGAACCAAAACTTTAATTGAAGATTGAACACAAATGAGCATAACCCCTCTGTTGTTACTTTGTCCTCCTTTACATGAGTTGAGGTAGCTGTTATTTCAAGGGTGTGGGGAGGGAGGCTACGTGCATGAGCACGGAGTGGCTTTCCCACCCCTTTTTTTAAATTTAATTTTGATTTAGAAATTTTATTAAACTTCAACAAAAGTATGACCCTTTTAATTGAAACAAGTCACCTTCATAAATAGGAGACATCTTGTCTTGAAGAGGGTTTAGAGCAACGAAAAACACATGACTTGTTATGCACATAACAAATCATCCACATTTGATAGTGTGGCATTGTGGGCAGGGAAAAAGCTCTAACCAAATTTTAGCGAGCGGCGGTGTGAGTACCCAATAATTAAATGATGCAAACCAAGATTACTACACCAACAAAAAAATCAGCTCCCAAAGTCCAACGGCTTATGCTTCTCTCACAAGAAACAAAGATGCCGCACCAAGAACATTGGGAAATTTCAATTTCCCACTTCTCCAGTGATTGTGGAGGAAAGGGAAGGGCAAAGACCCACTCTCCTATTCACAACAAAAAAATATCTTAGCTTATTTTTTTCTCCTTTTTTTTTTATTTTACTGCTGGTATGGTAGCCCGATCACAATCAGGTGAGGTCTACGGATTAAAAAGAAAAAAAAAACATCAAATTGAAGAGTGAGGGAAGATATCAAATATCGCCCATCACTAGCCTCCTCCCCTGGGTAACATGCGAATGTTGTGCAGCAATTTGCTAAAAATAGCATCCACTGACATTTAGAGATGACAAATAGTTTGGGTTTGGAATAATCCTAATGATGACAATGGTACTGAATAAGGTGCCAACTATGACAAAAATCTACAAGAAAAAAATAAGGGTACAGACAAAAATTAGTGAATAAGGCAGCTGCCGTTGCCACAGCAGATCATAAAGATTAAATAGCTACCACAAGTATGACTATGTCGACTATCAAGTAAATACAAAGAATATCATTAAGTCAAAACAATTAATCAACAAGAATAAAATAAAATAAAATAAAATTTTTTTTCCAGTTCAAACCAAGAAAAGAAAGGTAGAGGATTGGAGTTAGGTTGTTGCCAACCACTAAAAAATAATGCCAAAACTCATGAAGCCATCAACCAAACTTAAATAATTGGGACAAGAACAAAGATGTTGAAAAGATGAAAAACGCTTCATACATCAAATGGAAATATCACTACAATATTTTATTAAAAAAAAGGGAAGAAAATCACCTGTCAGGGGCAGTAGAAAACAGATCATCAATATCAGCAGGTTGCAAAGCCCCATCCTGATAGTAATTTTATCAGATGTAGTTACACAAGGAACGCAGAAAATAACCATTAATTTACCAATAATGTTCAAGTTAGTTTTTGATCCGTATGGAGAAAAATTTTTAGGATGATAATGCATTCAGACACATTGACGATCTTTGAATTCAGACATAGTAGGAACAAATTCAAAGGAGATAAAAATATTAAGTTAAACACGCATAAGAACAAAATTATTCCTAGATTTAACATGATGCGAAGCACAGGTTCAAGTTTTGAGTTCAAGCAATCCTTCTTTTAGTCAACCTTATTCAAATGAAGTAGTACAACTTCTTGGCATATAAAATGAAAGCTTGGCCGCAATCTAGAAGGCTTCAGCTTTTAGAAAACTGCTTAAAACAAGCACTATTGATCCCAAGTGCGGAAGAGAAAAATCAAATTTTGATATTAACTATACATATAATATTGAAAGTTGAAACACATGCTAAATTTTCTGAAATAAATCATAATCTAACGTTTGTTGCTACTATGTAGGGAGAGGACTTCATAAATAGGAAGAGTAGATAATAAGTCAACACATTCATTAGATAGAAATAAAAACCTTGCAAGAAATCAAATAATAAGGGAAAAAATATAAAATAAAGATCATGAGTTATTGTAAATTGAAAATTTTAACAAATGGGAAGAAACATGGAGAGTGGTGAGATAGGGGTGTAATCAAGTCGATTTCAAGTTACAACCAACTCAAGCACAACTCAAAATTTTTTTCATGACTTGAACTCAAAAAGCTTGAGCTCAAACTCGACTCATCAGGAAAAAAGCAAGCTGCTACTGCTTCTTCTCCTCATAGAAAACCATGACATGTTTCCTAAAAGTAGCTCTCGAAGAAACTTTAAATGGAGACATTGACTTCAAAACCAAAATGTAGAGTTCTTCTCCTCATAGACAACCATGACATATTTCCTAAAAATAGTCCTTGAATATGATTTAAAGGATGGAGACATAGTCAAAAACAAACCAAATCAAACACTTCCACTATTGAAAAGGGTTCCTCGTTGAATGAAACATAATGCGCAATCCATTCTCCAACTCATGCTTTCTTCGGATGGGCAGGAAGAATGACTTTTTTTAAATCCATTCAGAAAATACAAATAGTTTCTTCCTTTTCCTTCTATCCATTGGAATTTAGTCTCCTCATCTTTAGCATTCCCCTCTTATATCATCTCAAGATCATCATCGTTAATAGGATTGAGTGTTTCTTGCTAAGTAGCAATATCATGATCCATAATTGTAGGGTTGATTAGCCTTATATCTATAGGCATTCCAAATGCATGCTCAACCTATTCAGGCAAAGACAAGCTAAGGACTAAGTAAAATGTATTTTTTTCTTTTATCTTACAAAACTCCAAACACAAACAAAATGAAGTTGTAAAAACACAACAAGCATAACAAAAGAAAATACTCATCATATATCATAGAAAAAAAAAGCATTTTTCATCAATAAAAAATTATGATCTTACAGTAAGATGATAACTTGAAGGCTTAAACAATGTCAACAATAATCGATTCGTGAGCATTTTATCGAATGGTTTCCACTTGAGCTTTAGGGCTTTGTAATTTTTATGGAGCATGAACATTAGAAAGAAGTAAGAATTTATTCACGAGAAGGATATGTAAAAGAAGATAATAGATTACAAGAGCAGAGGAAAATAAAATCTTTACACTAGTGGTTTGATTTCATAACCCTCCTTAGCAAGAAGAATCAAAGATGAGGAACATTGACAGGAGGAATTTGGCATTCAGAAAGAGTCGGGAAGCCTAGAAGAGTCAATCGAGATGATGAGTTTGAAATTACAAAGATGAAGCCCAAGAATGGAAAGACATCCTATACTGAGAAGGGAACAAGATTGTCCATTGCAACAAGTGACAAAGGGAACTGGATGAGGTCCAACAAGGACAAAGCCAAAGATTCAAGACTTCAATCATTAATCATAACTGAGAAAAAACTTTAAAGAAGTATCTCGAGGGTTATTAAGGGTCTATGTCTTTTTGTTTTAGGGCTTTTGCCGATAAAATAAAGAGAAGTTACAATGGCTAATCTCACACCCTTAACAAGCTGGAGAACTTGTACCTGAATGAAAACCAACAACTAAGTGTACATTAGCGTTCCTTAACAAACTCGCTCAATGAGTTATCAAATTGAAACAGATAAAACTTGAACTTAAGCTCATCATTAAAAGAAATTTATACCGATCTCAATTTCAAACTCAAAGCTCATCAAGTTCAATTCATGAGGTAATAAATAAATAAAATTCAAGTCATATCACAAGCCGGCTTAACTCAATTACATCCCTAGTACTGAATAAAAAAGTTATAAATTTATGAGGGTAAAGCATCATGATAAGGTGTTTGCTATTAAGTGATAAATGCTCGATGTAATTATTGTTTAAGCACTAATCGATGACAATAACTAAAAAAGTGAAATTTTTAAAGTAAAAAAAAAAGGTTTGACAACCATGACGTGGAAATTTTGAGTTTTTTTTTTAAGAATGGATGCTCTGGTTTAAGAGGGTTCACAACAAGAATGGAATAGAAAATAAAAATATGATGAGAAAAGTTACTTGATTAGTAATAGTATATGATGTAGCAACAATGAAAGCATACAATAAGGAATAAAAAATTACTTAATTACTTTCAATAATGGAGTACATAAAGGCTACTTTTAGTCTTTTATTGAAGAAAATAAATAAATCCCTCTTGTAAAGAATATAAGGTGAGTCCACAAGAAAGTTTAGCAACAGTTACAGAACATAAACCAAATGTTAGAATAAGTTGGTAGACTTTGTAAGGACAAAAGTTCATAATCATCCAATATATGATGCTAAAGAGGTGAATTGGAAATTTAAAAATGAGCAAAACTTGAAGTGCGATAGAATATCTAGTTATATTTAAAAAAAAAACAGAAAATTTCTTGGAGATACTCAAAAGTAGGTCATACGCAACATTTCTAAGAGGACACGTGCTTTCTAAACTATTGAGAAATTACCAACAAAGCAAAAGTTTCACAATTATCCATATGTACGTAGGTCATCCAAATACTTTGTTCTCTGATAAAGCCCATAAATAGGAAAATATCAACAAGGTCTATCTTTTATTTAGCACATACTTGAAAGAGTGACATAAATAGAAAACAACTTATATAGAATATGAAAAAAAAAACTACACTCAAGTAGAATAACATTTAGCATTAAGATGAATAAAACACATTAAACCACCTAAAACAACCAGCAAGAACAAAGAAAGAAGACCATACATTGTCTGAGTCAAACATCAAGAAGATTCCTTTCAAGAACTCTATCGCTTCATTTGCTAGTTCGACACTCTGAAACAATAAGATAGATAAATTAGATAAATGATTACTTTATGAAACTCAAAAGAAATTAATTGAAAGAAAAGATCATTTGCCAAACTCAAGCTAAGATGTGTAAGAATATAGACAATCAATTCATGTTAAAGCATACAAAAACGAAGCCCAATAAAACATTCAACAAAAAAAAATAGACAAATAACAATGACTTCATAAGTACGTGAAGGCAGTTTATATTATCTTAGATAGTCTGAGTGAAATTTAAGTTCGTCAAAACAGTTTAGAAGTGAGCTTTTACAGCGAAGTTTTGTTATAACAATAAAGAGAAGAAGCATATCTCATCAATCATCCAGACTAAAGGACAATCCCAATACCTGCATTGACGGACTTAGACAAGTTGGTTTAAATCAGTACTTGCGACAAAATTATACTTTATAGTATGTCCAATATTCAGCTCTTCAACATGTGATAACTGCAGCTTAATTCCCACGCTTTCAAAACATAAATAATTAACTCGAATACTAAGCCTCCAAAAAAGAAATAAATGAGAGTGTATAATCCATAAAACTTTTGAAGGTTTCAAATTTAACCTGATAATTTATAATTTGTCCTGCAACGTGATAAGTTCAATGGGGAGACAATTAAGATTATCCATTCAAGTTTTTTTTCTATTTAAGAAAAAAAAAAGGGTAATTTCCGAGACCATTTTTCAATACTTAATAGATGGGTAGAGAAAGACTGTAAAAACCTTAAAAAAATAATATTTTAAACAGAGATGAGGATGGAATAAAATCGTCTTTGTTTACAGTTATCAGCACATAAGAAGTAAAATTTATCAAGAACAAAAAATTTTATGAAGATTATTCACTTAGCTAGTCTTTAAAAAATTTCTACCATATTGCTTTCCTTACAATCACATGCACTTATCTGTTTAGTGCATATTCTAAAACTTAAATGTGGAAAATGCAACAGCCAACATGAACTCAAAATGGCATTAAATCAAACATGATTTTCGCCCAACTTTAGCACCACTCTCCATCTTGCATACCAACATTACAAAGGATAAGGCAGCAAGTGATATCAGCTTGACATATGAAAGAAAAACCATCAATAATATTACGAACTTTAGAACATAGCCATATTATCTTTCATAAAACTCCAAACACTAATAATTTTTGCTTCTAGTTACAACTTATGAGCAACTAATTAGGCCCAACACCTTTGTAAGAGAACTAGTGATGTAACATGATGTTCGTCGTCCCCGGCGACGGTACACATGGCGAAATCTGATGCCCTCATCAACTAGAGTTTTAGAGCAAATTGATAATTGACGATCATTATCTCATGAACTTACCAGAAGAATAAGCATATGCATTTCATAAACTGTTTAGTTAAAAAAAGTACACTAATTTAATGGTAAAAACATCTAATGATCAGCACCAATGGAGTACAGGCGATGTTAATGCCCCTATGTTTCAGTGCCAAGGTTCAATTTAGCACTTCAATTACAAGAAGATTAAATTGTTAACCACTAGGTCAAGTATGGAAATAGTGTACTTTATGATAAATAATTTGTTTATTTACAGCCAACTTTAACGCTAACAAAATATCGTGAGCAGAATCAATAAAGGCACATGGAAACAATTAGATTAATATACACTTGTTTTCAAAAAAAAAAGGATGGAGTAACTAGAATGATAAAAGCACATGGAAATAATTAAATTACAAGAAAGCTGCATGCAACAAAACCTGATCAGGGGCGCGTTTAAATACTGGCGGAAGGAGATCATCCCTTAGTTTAAGATCATTATCATATCCAAATTTTCTCAAAACTGTCCAAGTAGTTTCAAGACGGCCCTTTTCAATAAAAAGGGCATGAAGAAAAAGAAATCCGGTCAAGGTAAGGCCATGTTCGTTGACACCTTCAGGCATTTTCTCCTGTACAACCTTTTGGACACCCACAATTTCAGAAGGTTGGAGAGGAGCATTAAAACATCTAACCTGATGAGAAAAGCAACAGAGTGATGTCAAGATTAACGTGATTGTTTAATGAAACAGATAAAATTGGGACAATATATGAAAGATAAGAAAACCTGAAAATCGTTCAATTCTGCATCACTCAGGGCACCATCTCTGTCATGGTCGCATAAAATAAAGATCCGTTTTAAAGCCCTCACACATCTAGGCTTCAAAGATTGTGTTTCTTGGTCAAAAAGCGGGGAAGTTGGATGCAAAACTGCCTTTTGAGCATAGTAGAAGACCTCAGGAACCTAGATGAAAGCATGGGAGCATAAGACTTGTCAGGATATTAAAGAAAACCTTCAAAACAAAAACAACAAGGACAAAATGGCTTCTCTAGATGAGATGCAGCAAAAAGCACGCATACACACTCAAATACTCATACTCACATAGAAAATGCAAGATGCAATAATAGCATACATAGCTATTCTTCTTTTCTCAAAAATGAATCTATTTAATATGCTTTGATGATACCAAAATATAATGCCATATAAATGAGAAAATTATCTACACAAACTAGATCAAGTTAATTTACTGTAAAGAGTGGAGGACAAGAAACTATGAACACTTTTAATGAAATATGCTTGCAACCATAAAGATCCTCAGTCACTGACTGATGTTGGAAGCATGCAAAATAAAGACCAGTATCAAACATGGTGACGCTAGCAGATCAACCGGATCTGTCCATAATGATCTCACTGCTTACAAACAGGCCTATGAATCAACAGCAACAGCAACATTCACGAGACATATCCTAAATATCCTCAGTCTTTTAAATTGGCATATTCAAGAACAAAAACCATCATCAAACAAGTTGATAGAAACAGATTGGTGATCCGCCCATATTGCCCTAACTGCTAACAAACATGTCAATGAAGTAACGACAATAACCGTAAGTCCGTAAAAAAACATTAATACCTGGATCTGCCTGAGAGAAGAACACTCTATACAAGTCTCAATCTCCCGAAACTGCTGCATAATCGGCGACATTACCTGATCAAGGCTAGACTGTTGCTCATCCCTCAAATCCAACTTACATCCTACCACAATCACCGGCACTTTCACCTAAAAATCAAGCGCAAAATATAGAACAATCACATCCAACAAAAATATAATATATCATTCATCCAATAACCGAACCTCCAAGCGTCGAAGCTCCGGAAGCCAGTACGAACTCAACCGATCAAGCGATGCCGGCCTGTCACAAGCGTACGTAAGCACAATCACATCTGCCGCCTGGCATTCCGCTACAAGAGTCGCCTTACTCGCCGGACTGGAAAACAAAAAAGAAAACCATCAAACAAAAGATACGAAAGCTGAAACCTAGGGTTCCCATATGCCAACCTGGAAGAAGTATCGATGATGGTGAGAGGCACTCGATCGGGGTAGTAATCGGCGGGGAGACGAGTGGGGGGCAAAACATCGGGAACGTTTTCCGGAAAGGACTCAGTGGCAACAGCGATGATGAGGCTTGACTTGCCGGTGCCTTGGTCGCCTACTACGACGATGCGGACGCCGGAGCGGCCGACGAAGCTCGGCGGAGTAGTAGAGGCCGACATGGATCTGATAGCAAAGGTTATGGAGAAGATGCGACGATGGACGAGCTCCGAGTTTTGCAGCGGCGGCTGGATTTATTGGTGGTGGAAAAGGATTGCGAGCGATCTTGCGGGGGAAGGCAGGGGTGGGTTTGGGCCCGTTGGAATAGGAGGCTGGAGGGGTAGAAAAGGGCGCATGTATATGGACCGGCCAAGTATCAAGCTTTAAATAGGCCTTGTAGTTTTAGCTCTAAGATGGATAATTGAACATTTGGACTTGGCCTAACTTGGAATATCATGAGAGAGAGAGAGATCAATTTTAAATTTAGGCTTCTTTGAGACGGCTTTCTTACTGCTTCTTAAAGCAGCTTTCTAGTTCAAAAATTTTAAATTTTGAACTAAAAAATTGCTTTAAGAAGCAATAAGAAAGCCGTCTCAAACGAAGTCTTAGTCATTATTTGAGACACCTTTCTTAATGTTTCTTAAAGCATTGATCTAGTTGAAATATTTTAGTTTTTATACTAAAATTTTTTTAAGAAGCAATAAGAAAGTGAGACTGTGAGGCAGCTTTCTTATTGCTTCAAAAAGAAGTTTTCTAGTGCAAAATTTTTTATTTTTTATACTAGAAACCTACTTTAAGAAGCAATAAGAAAGTCGTCTCAAACAAAATCGGCTTTATTTGAGATGGCTATCTTATTGCTTCTTAAAGCAGTTTTTTAATACAAAAATTTTATTTTTTTTAACTAGAAAGTTGTTTAATGCAGCAAGAAAGCTGTCCCAAATGAAACCTTTGTCTTCATAAGAAACGGCTTTCTTACTACTTTCTAAAATGACTTTCAGTACAAAAATTTCTAATTTAAGAAAAGTTTATATTAGAAAGTTAGATTTAGAAAGTAACAAAAAATTGTCCCAAATAAAACCTTGGATTCATTTATTTATTGTTCAAATTAAAGATAGTGAGCACATATGGCTAGAATTGTCATTAAGCAATGATATAGAGTCTATCTTAGATTGAAATTATATCATTAAAGTTTTAATTGTGAACCATTAAAGAATTTTTAGGAGAAATAGAGAAATGAGAATAGAAGTGATTTTTCAAAATTGTGTTTGTCATTCTAGTATTTATAACTAGTAAGAATGCATGTAGCATTAAATTTTACTATATATATTATAAATACAAATTGTTGGTATTGTGAACTTTTCAATTAATTATGAATTTTAACACAAATTTAGAATATCAAATCATTCAAGAAGCTCAAATAGTAACTTGAAAAAAAAAATTATTTCAAGGATTAAATGGAATATAAACTGCATAAATTGATGATAAATATGATTTTGTCTAGTTGTGATATCTACAATACATGAATTTAGAGTAAAATTAAGGAAAGTGAGAGCTAAATCACAAATAATCAAACCAGCTCGAACATTTTTGGAGGACTAAATCGTCCGACATCCACATTCCTCGAACAGGTTGTATGCAAGTCATGCTTGCGTGCACCAAAGATGCGATGGTGCCAGCTGCCACCACTCTCTACCTATCAAGGGGTTTGACAATTGACCCAAGCATCTTCACTTGAGCAACATTTTTGTGGTCTCTATCATCTCATGTTACACCTATTTTTGTGTAGATTGTATGTCCATCTAGTCTTCCCTCAGGTTAAGTAACCTCTACTTAACATTGATCGACAAACCCTTTTTAATGTTGACTTGCTCTAGATTAATTGAAATTTTGAAGACAAAAAATAATAATATCATCATTGTTTTTCGTCAAATATAAGTTTGATTTATGAACTTTCTCAAAATTCTATCCATCCCGTCAATTCAATAATCAAATTTATTATTTGTTAACTTTGTTACATTGAAATTGTTAAAATCTTAGAAACGACATATTACGTCCATCATTAAGAGAGATCATTGGTAGCAACCATCGTTGGCATTGATCATCCTTAAAACAAACAAATCCATCGAGCAAGCCTAAGGTTAGATCATTCAATTTCTTTCTAATCAAGAAGAGCATAATCCGAACCATTGAACTTGGCGCGAATATGAAATATTTTAATAGAAATAACTAAACACTCATATTGAAATATATAAATATATCATTATTCTATACATTATAAATATAAAATATATCTAAAACCAAAGTGAAATCCTCATATTGTAGAGAAATTCAAGGCTACAAGCCATGCTTTGAGTATCATCCAATTGTTGATGTTCTTGAAGCAATCTCTCTCTTATTTGTCTTCAAACCACTTAATTTCCTTTATTTCTGAAAGAAGAATGGTTGTAATTATCTCCAATTGCTCATCAACTTTAGTTAAAAAAGAAAAAAAAAACTTTGATACAATCCTTAAAACCTCATTAGATTTTGCACAAACTTAAAATCAATTCAGAATTTTAAAACACTCAAATTAGAGCAAAAAAAACTATTACAAAGCATCCAAAGTGTCAAATGAACTCAAATTTCAATGCATTTGCAATCAAAATGAAAGATTTTTCAAAAACATATTAATTGTTAGGGCGCTAAAATATTCAAATATGAATGCAAAATTATTATAATAGATTTCACAATAATGACAAAAACTTTATAATTATTCTTTTTTTTTAGACATTCAACAATAAGATTTTAGTATTTGAAGACGATTGAGATTTACAGAGAATTTTAAAACTCTAACCGTCATTGCTCGATAATGGTCATCAATTTACATTGACATTCATTGTCATCTAACGCCACCGGTCCACCAAAATATTTATAATCATCTAATTCCAATCGTTGATAATATTAAGCATGAGATGCATGGGCTTATACAAAATTATTTAAAGATTAATGTATTTTTTTGAAATAAGTTGAAAGAACTTTTTCTGCTATAATAATTATAAAAAAAACTATATTTTAAAATTAGAGATTAATTTATGAATTATATTTCAATCACTTATATTTAAAAATATATATTTAATTGTATTGACAAAAAATTCATTCAAAAATTTCATAATATAAAAAATATGCATTATAAATTATAAGTTTTAATTATCTTACACTTTATCATTTTAAAATAATAAGTTTAAATAAAACATTTTTAAAGGTATTAATGCTGATCTCAAACATGAATAAAAAAACTTATAAAAATATTTTTAAAATCTAATTTATACCCCCACTAAAAAACTTTTAAGCTCCCCATCGTACAAGTATCTTTAATAATTTTTTATTTTTATTAAAAAAACCACTATTTTTTTTTTTTAATTTTAAAAAAGTTGCATGCATATTAAACATATTTATATGCACAAATACATGACAAGCATAATTGTAGAAGCAGTCGAATAGAAGGTTTTATTTTCTTGCCGCTTTCTGAAGTAATTTTTTAGTCCAAAATTTTTAAATGAAAAAAAAAAAATAAACTAAAAATGTTCCGAATGAAAACCAAAGTCTTCAACATCAAATCTTATAATGATTAAGGATTGGTATAGATAAATCAAATAGAAATAATACAAAAAGTATTGCTTATTTGGAATAGTTTCAGAATAGAATAAATATGTTACAAAAAAATTCAATTGAAGAATAAATAATAAATAATCACAACTACAATTTACCAGAACATCCATTTATTCGACCAGTAAAAGCATAGTAACATCCCATGCAAAAGAATAATGAAGTCCAGATATTACAATAAGGAAAAAAAGGTGCAATAAGATGGCAAACATTACAATGAAACCATTGGTATTCAAAGACAAAAATAACTCGAAGATCACCTGTAGAAATATGCCAAGCATCATCTGAACTTCCCAGAATGAATCCTGATCCTTGAAGCATTGATGAACATTTTTCAAAATTCCATCAAAATAACACATAGTCGAGCTTTAGAACTTTGAGAATACTTTAAGATTTCGTTGGGACAATTTTTTTATTGCTTTCTAAAGAAACTTTTTAGTATATTAAGAAGCAGTAAAAAAATCGTACCAAACAAAATCTTAAATAATAGATCATTTGCAGAGTATTATGGAAGGCAGCTCAGGCGGAACGGGCGATATCCGGTTGGCCCAGAAATTAGCAATCTTGGCGATGTAACAATCCCCATTCCAAAAAACTGTCTTAATGCCTGATTATTGAATACAAAGGATTAGGATATGTTATGAAGAACTGGTGGCAAAGAAATTTCTAATTGAATATAGCATGAATTGCACGGAAATGGGAACTCATGCAGACCTTATTTAAGAAAATCCTTCAGTTGAATTACACTAAGGTGGGTGCTTATGTTTAGGTGGCTGGCAATAGTGCGGTAAAAAAAACTTGCTGACCACATTTAGCAAAATAATTAGCTGTTGTTCAAGTATTTTTAGAAGCCTGTTTATTTAACAAGCTCAACTTGGTCTGTTGGTTGGGAGCTTAAGCTATCAACTAAGATGTCTTGGGTTCGAATCTTATGTATGTGATGTGTGTGTGAGTATTAAAAAAGGGAGATTTACATACATACCAACCTATATACTATACTATTTACATATTTAACACATAAAAATTTAATATTACATACATACCACCCATAGTTCATTTACATATCAAATATGAGTGATAGAAATGAAATTAATGAGTGGTATGAAAGAAATATGAGTAGTATATTTGGTATTAAAATAATATAGGGTGCTATGTATGTAAAATTAAAGTTTTGGATGTTAGATATGTAAATATGATGGTATAAAATAGTATGCATGTAAATTTTCCAAAAATTAAAAAAAGGCTTGTTTGATCCTGTTCAACTTTATAGTAGCTTGACTATATATATATGACTTTTAAGCATATTTCATAATCGTAAATAGCTAATGCTCAGTTCAATAAACTAATGAGCTGAACACATAAAAAATATTGACCCGTTTGCATAATGACTTGAGCCCAGGTGTTACTCAAGATTGGCATGTTTACACCTTAGTTGGCATGAAAAACTTGCTAATGAGCTTGCCCGTATTCAAGCTTATAAAGAAGAGTTGGTTTGTGCTCAACCTTGCAGGCAAAAAACAAGAAACCTCGCAGGAATAAAACTGATAGAAAAGCTAAATAATCAACTTGTGCATTAAAAAAGCTGTACAAAATAAAGTTTTTCTAATATAAATAAATATATATATATACACACACACACGCTAGCGTAAAATGACAAAACCTGAGGAACCCCATAAAATTTACACTTGCATATATTGATAATACCTGGTAGCTTGTCAAGTGGTAGCAAAGAGAATCTGCAAAACCCATTCTTCCAGTGAATCGCAGTGTCCTGACATGTTTGTTCATTGATTTTGTCAATAAGATTGATGGATTCCAGTAATAGCTTTGCTAAGCCCTTATCATCAAGATCCATGTTGCTGGAGATGCTTTGAAGAGCTTCTTCCAAACCAGAATTAATCCATTCCTCGTTTCCCTTCTCCAAGCAAGTAATTATCTCATTTGAATCTTCCAGATTAAACAGCAACCAAGGCATGTAAAACCTCACAGTGGCATGCAGAATTCTGGATACTCTGTAAACTTCTCCAAGGGCAAGGAAGTACTTATTTCCTGTGAAAGACGACATTAGAAACAATCTTTTCAAGCATATCAGACTGTAACTTGTGAGTGCAAGGCAGAAATAAGAGGGTAAAAATCAATAAACAGTTATTTACCTTGGGTAAAGATTTCCTTGGAAATGTTGCAATCAAGTGACTCTGTCCAGATTTTAGAACCAAGTTGTAATTCCTTTGCACAAGCTGAAGCTAACTTAGACCATGCATTAATATAAAATAGCTGCTGCTCTCTGGAAGCCAATCTCAAAATTTGTAAAACTGAGGAGGAATGTTCAAAAAGATCCACTGCGGCATTCAAGTGTTTTTCTGCCTGTAAGAATAAAGAAATTAGCCACTTTGCCTGATAAAATTAAATAACATGAAGACAGAACGTCTAAAGGGGTTTTCTCCTTGGATGAAAGCCAAACCGACTGAAATCTTAATAAAGAAGATAAAAGAATTATAAAATTTTTTCAAAACAAAGAATTCCAAAAATTGGAAGCTCATATAATGCATTTGCCAGCTGAAACATATAGAGAAATTGCTAAGTAACATGCAGTCATAGTGATTGGTGACAGCATGTTGCAGCAGCAGAAGCAACAACAACAACAAGCCTTTATCCCACTACGTGGGGTCGGCTACATGAATCATTTTTTTCCAATTTATTATATTAAAGGTCAAATATTCATTTAAATATAATTAAAAAAAATATTTTTAATACTTTTTAACCAAGTCTTTTTAGGTCTATCTCTACCTTTCTTAACATAGACCGGATCTAATACATTTACTCTCCTAATAGGTCATCAAACAGCAGACATTTTACATGAACTATCCATCTAAGGAAACTCTCTCTAATTATATCTGCCACTGGAGCTCTTCAACCTTTTCAAGTGTATACTCATTTCGCACTCTCTAAGGAGCTATTTGATTGATTAAAAAAAGGAATGCAGTATAAAAGGAATACAATATAAAAGGAATACTTTGAAGTTGTTTAGATTAGTGTAAATGCAAGTGAATGCTTTTTTTGTTTAGTTTGAAGTAAAATGAATGTGGTGTATAGTCCAAAGTTAGTGGCGACAAGCGGATGGAGGCGACATCGACGGTGGCTGGTGATGGTCTGCAGCGGGTGGTGGCTAAGGTCAAGGTAGGATGGTGGCAATGGTGTCCTGTGGCACATGGGGGAAGCCGGCAGTAGGTAGTGGCCGATAAGTGGTGGCCAGCGAGTGGTGATACCGATGGTGGGTGATGGCCGATAACATATAGTAGTGATGGTGGCTCGCAATGGGTGGAGACAGAGCCAGCTGCGGTCGGTGAAGGTGGTGGCGGCCGACAGTGGACAGTGGTAGTGGTGGCAGTCGGCAGGTCGCAACAGTCAACAATCAAGCGAGATTGCTTGAGGTGTAAACGGTTCTTGCCCAAAACTAGGCGAATTTAGTTTAGCTCAAAAAATAACTAAAATGATTTACATAACATTTACTTTACTTTGTATTTCTTTTTTCATCCAATCAAACACCAATATTTTTCCCTGCATTTGAAATACTTTACATCAATTTTACTTCCACCAAACAACCACTAAGTATAAAGTCACTCATCCACCATAGTATCCTCATCTTTGCAACACTTAATTTTATGCTTCTCTTTTAATCACATATATTATGCGCCATAAAGTATTGCAAGTCTCACCACCATCTTATATAATTTTCCTTCAAGATTTTAATGTACTTTTCCATCACACAATAAGCCTGATACATTTCTCCACTTCAACCATCCAACTTGAATTCTACTATTAAAATCCCAATATATTTCACCATTGCTTTCAACAATAGACCCTTAATATCTAAAATATGCACTATTTTTTATGACTTGATAACACAATATCACAATCTCACTACTAGATCTATTACTACAAAAATGATACTTCATATATACAATTTTAGGTCTACTCAAATGAAAATATTTAGACTCTAAGGTCAACCTCCATAATTCAAGTTTTACATCAACTTCCTCTCTAGCTTCATCAACAAGAAGAATATATTAGCAAAAAGCATACACCAAAGTATATCCTCTTGCAAATGTCCAGTAAAAACATGCATGATTAAAGCAAAAAGATGTGGGTTTAAGGTTGATCCTTGATGTAATCCAACAGAAATAGAAAAATACTTGGCCCAACTACCTTGCATTTGAACACAAGTAACAACTCCTATCTACATGTCCTTAATGACTTGAATAAAAACATTATTAACTCTTTTCTTTTCAAGAACTCTCCAGAGCACTTTTCTTAGAACTTTATCATGTACTTTCTATAAATCAATAAGCATCATATGTAAATCCTCCTTACTCTCTCTATACTTCTCCATCAAACCTCTCAACAAATTTATAGCTTAAATGGTAGACCTACCCAGCATAAATACAAATAGAAAAACATTAGTATCATGTTATAACCTATGCTTAATTACTCTCCCATAATTTTAATGTATGACACATTAACTTAGATCCTTTATAATTCACACACTCTTGTGCATCATCTTTATTCTTAAAATTAGGAATCAACACACTCCTTCACCACTCATCTAGCATCTTTTTAGTCTTCAAAATAATATTAAAAATTTTAACAAGCCAAAATCTTTGATCTCATAAGCAATTTCACACTTCTATTGGAATATGATTAGGTTCTACTTCTTTTCCACACTTCATTTTCTTTGACGTGAGTGAAGACAACATGCAACGGAAGAAAATAGCCATCATCATTTTAATCAACATTGTCATATCAAACTACTTGGTTTTGTGTTATGAATACCTCTTTGCCATTCACTAAATAAGTGTTTCCTGTGTAACTGTCTTGTTAACTCTAATTTACATAAAGTTTTTTTGCACGATATTCAGCCAAGTCACCTTCGGTCTACACTCTACACGTATCCTTTTCTATTCTTTCACATTAATTCTACCTTCCTACATCACTAGAGCATTGCACGACTCTCTCTAATACATGCCAAACCAACTAAATCCTCCTTCAATAACCTTAACCTAAATAAGTCCTAATCCTCCTTCAAATATACAATTATTTTGTACTTGATCCTTCCTAGTTTTGCTTCTACCACAAAACCATTTTTGCAATCTCATTTTTTTCCTATAATCTTGTATAATTAGTAGCTTCTTCATTGCCTAACAATTGGATACATAAAATGTGGTCTCTCCGTTTTTATTAATTGCAGACAACCTTTTGGTCGAGGCTTCTAATAAAAGCCTTTTTATTCCATTTAAAGGAAATATTGGAACTTTGAATCAAGTTGTATATGAAAAGGGTTTACCTAATACATAAGGCCTCCTCCAATGCTCCTCCTCCTAGGTAGAATGGGGGTTGAAATACAAAGCTTTATCTTGTATTGTAGAAAGACTTCTCCCCATGATTTAAGCCCATGATCGCAAGTCACAGTACATGCAACCTAATAGTTTCTATGAAGCCCTCCCTCAAATTTTATACGTCTATAAAAGTTAAATTAATCTAATGAATAATTTTACTTTGGACTCACAAATGATCCCCTTGCTGAAATAAAAATGAGGGCATTCTTAAGGATTAAATAGAAAATAAATGGATGTGGATGATAGAATTACACCGCTAATCATTTGGATGGATGGTACTGCATAAAAATCACAAAATAATCCTCAGATTATTTGTATGTGGTCAATTTAATCTCAGAGTATCACGTTACTCAAAATTAGTCGTTCGACTACACAAAATTGATACAAAATGGTCTCTAATATTATAATTGAGATATAAAATTAATCGCAATTTAGTCCCTCGACAATACAAAATTGATCCCAAATTAGCCTAAAATAGATCATTTTGGATCAATTTTGTATAACCGCGAGACTACATTGAACCAACGTGATACTTTAGGACTAAATTGTTTATGTACAAATAGTCAAGGGAACATTTTGAAGTTAACCGGGTGGTATTGTCTGACCTTCAAAGTGAAGGCCACAAGCATGAATCTCCGAAAAAAAAAAAATTATAATAACATAAGACTTTCTAGGATTCTAACTGTGATGCACATACATGAATAATTTCAAAACATGCATTGTTTGACATATAAAAAATATGTCACACACACCTAACACATGTTTGACCTATGTTAAACATACTATAAACACATCCTATAAGGATAAGTTGGGCGTGTCAGGGGGGGGGGAGGGGGGTGATTAACAAAAACCTAGGAATAAAAAAAAAAACATTTTTTCAATTTTTATTTGGATATAGGCACGATTTCCACTCAATGATGAAAGAAACCATATGTTTGGAGTACTTTTTTTTTTTAAGTTATATCATTGACCATTTTCAAAATCCTTAACAAGTTAGGAAAGTAAAAAAATTAGGAGTAAAAAAAAAAACATTACTTCGAATTTCATTTGGCAATAGACAATTTACACTCAATGATGATAAGAAACCTTATTTTTGTTTTTTTTTAAATAAATCATTCACGTTATTTTAAAAATCAGTAGCAAGTTAGACATTTTAAAAAACCAGGAACAAAAAAAAAACATCTACTTCAACTTTCATTGGGATATAGAATATAAGAAAACTACGAACAACTTTTATTGATAAGAAACCTTATATTTGGAGATTATTATTTTTAATTAAATCAATCAACTCAGTAAGAAGTTCGAGTTGCCAATTAAATTTCAACGGATTTGAACAACTTCTTCTAGAATAAAATATATAACATGTAAAGATACTTTTTGGACCATATATTACTTAACATTTTAATAATGCTTGATTGAAGAACAAAGAATTGTAGAATAAATAAATAGTGGTATTTACTTGGTTTCATTGATGGAGATAAATACCAATATTTTTATTTTAATTTGAGGACTAAATAATGAAAAAAAAATCTTAAACAAATGGAAGGAAAAGGACCTTTTGTCCATTTACACCGCCATAGTGACTTCTTAGAAACATTTAAATGATTGATTAAAATTTATTTTTATCTAGCAACTAGTTTAGGCTACATTTTGGGACAACTTTTGAACACTGCTTTTTTGTTGCTTTCAAGATATTTTTTACTAAAAAACAGTAATAAAGTCATCCCAAACAAAGCCTTACACAGAATATGAATTTGATAAACTTTTTATTTATACAAATTGATGAAAAAAACTTCAAAAGTTACACGCACATGTGCATGCAAGTGCGCGCACACAGTGCACTGAAATTGCAATTTTCCTTAAACATATAAAACATAAAAAAAAATTTAAGGGGTACATACTGCAAGTAATCTTTCTGACAAGTGGAATTCTTGCTCAGCTACTTTAAAATTTGATGTCCTTGTCTCATTTAGCAGTTCATTAATGCGGCTTGCTCTTTGCTTGCCGGTGCAAGCATCACCAGAAGCAATCATTTCTTGCAGATTTCCATAAGCTTTCTGGTTTTGAAAAAAAAAAAACTTAGGTTAATAAAAATTAGTTTAATATATGAAGACGAAAGGTTAGACGCGTAAGCAGAATGTGTAGTAGAGCATAAATTATGGAACCATATAACAGGAAATATCACTAAGACACAAAACAATACATAGGTTATGCTACGGAACTTTCAAATAAGAATATCACAAACCACCCAGTTATATCAATAATCTGATTAATTATATTTATTTAAATGATTAATATCATGTAAATATTATGGGATGATTTCATATTAGCGTGCATTAATTAGGAGAGGTTATCTAGATATTTTGGTTGTAGTTATATAATAATAATCGCTTTTATGCCACTACTACAACAACAAGTTTTTATCCCAATACGTGGGGTAGGCATAAAAACTGCATAACCAAGTGCCAAAATTTTTACTACATAACGACGATGCCAGATGATTAGTTCCTTATTTAGACTACATAACACTGATAAAAGAGCATCATTTGAAATGATTATAACAGAAACATGTCCGGGAATCTTTAATGCATTTGAAAACTAATGCAAGATAAGTTCTAATTTTCAACTTAACTTTTATATTTCATGAATCTTTAAAAAACATTATCTTACAAATTGCTATAACCAAAAAAAAAAAAAAATCTTCCATAATCACATCAAATCTGAGTTCATAGAATTACTGTATTGAAGATGGTGGATTAAAGCAAGTTAACTAACTGCCATATTTATGCGCATAAAGAAAACAATAAACATTAAGATTCTAACCATTCTTACAATCTTGTCCGATCAGTGAGGGGGTAGACTTAACAAGACAACAGAAGTCAATTACACAATTACTTTTATAACCTGAAAATACAAGTCAAACTAAACAATATCGCTCTTAAATGTCATTTATGATTATTGCGCGTTGGAGGCAAGAGCAATTTGTCAACCAATAGCTTATTGTATTAGATCACAGCCTAAATACTGACAAATGCTTCCAAAAATATAATTGTGTGGTCATATTTACTGTATGGTATGATATGTAACACACCTGAATTTCCTCATTGATCTTCTTTACTTCAGGCGTTGCTCCAGGAAGAGCAGGAACCTAACAGAATCTCTAACATCAAATCATCTAATTAACACAAAATGAAACAAAATCTAAGGTTCTCATCATAAGTATACTGACCTTTAGCACGGTAAGATGATGTACTATCAAAGAGAGAGATTCTTCTTTCACTCTACAATAAAGGTCAGTTAAAGTGTAGGAAGTTGATTCACTGGATAGACTTTGACCTGATTCATAGGCAACAATCTTTTCAGCATTGCCAGTCTCCGCAGTATTTTGAGATCCCCATTCAATCTGATTGAAATCAATGTCACCATTAACATGAGCAAAAGATTTCCCAAGTTGGTCTATTTCCTGTCCATTGCCAATGGAATTTTGGGAAGGAACAGTAGCACGAGGACTGTCGGTTTTCTCATGCGGAGCCTGTATGATGCTAGTAAGAGCAACAGGCGAATAATCCAACTTTCCGGCTCCTATATTATGCTCAATATGATCCTCAGAACTTCCATAAAGATTTTTCTTACCATTAGCAGAAGAGATGTTCAGGTCATCAAAGTTCCACATGTTCCATTCTACCTCTTTTGTATCCTGGAAATATGCATCCATCATATAAAAATGAAAAGATCAAATCAAATTACCATCAAGAAGAAATGAGAAGCAAGCCAGTTGACAGTCACTCTGTAAAAGGTTATTTGTATTAAATTCCGTTTGCAGAGATTCTTAAAACACTAGGGAGAAATTTAAAATTATTAAGAAAGAATAGATGAAGCGACTACAGCTCAACTCAATAAAAATGAAGATAGAGCTCTCAAAATTTAGAATATTGTTAAGCTCTGATGCACCGACACTTCGTTTTAAGAGGGTATGCAGAGTCGGACACGTGTCGGACACGGACACGCGTCCGACACGGCGAGGACACATGTCGGACACGTCACTAGTGTGTCCCATTTTAAAAAAAAAATTAAAACGGACACGCGTGTCCGGCTATTATATAATTAAATAAATAAATAAACCAAATCTTGCTATTTCATATTAGCCGGTTCACGCCCGAGTCTTCATCTTCTCCGGTTCTCCTTAACTCCGTATTCCTATTCGTATTCGTGGTCTTCCCGAGCGATTGAGGCGAGCAGTGGTCGGCTGGAGATCGCACACTTGGTCTTCCCTTACGACCGTAAGCAGCAAGCCATCCTCCTTAGTTTCTAGGCGCAGCTAAGGGAAGCCGACGACAAACCGCATAAAATTTTTCAAACATGTAAGTTGATTTCATCATTTTTTTCTCCATTCGCCATTTCTCTTCATTTATCAATGATTATGTATATTTTTTATCAGAAGAGCATATTTTTTTTAAGTATTTTATTTGTTTTGGATTAAAATTATTCTCACGATAAATATTTATTTATTTAATGCGCTTTAACTGCGCTTTTGTTGCGCTTTAAGTGCACTTTCACTGCGTTTTTACTCTTACAATAAAAATTTTAATTATTTTTTAGTCAGATAGTCATAACGCATGATGCAATAGTTCTTTAATTATTTTTTTAACTTTGTTTGGCAATTTTTAATTGTTTTACAATAAGTCTTTATTTCTTCTATTTCACTAGTTATTTTAAAAGCAAAATGAGCACTAGTGCTGGTGGAAGTGGTTCAAAAGAGCCATCTGTAGAAATTGATAAGCCATTATAGATTCATGTTACGAAGTTAGGAAAAACATTTGAAGGAGGGAATGTGCCATTTAAATGCAATTATTGTGATGACACCTATAAAGGATCTTATTCTAGGGTGAAAGCACATCTTCTTAAGATTTCTGGCCATGGAATTAAAATGTGTCCTAAGATTACTACGTCACAGTTGATTGAATTGAATAGACAAGTTGATGAAGCTGAATCTAAGATCAAAAGGGCACTTCCTAAAGAGATATATTTGTCATCTACCCATGGTTCATCCCACACTCCTTCCTCATCTGTTAGAGTTGATCATTCATTATCATATAGAAATGAATGATATGATTCAAAGAAAAGAAAAAGAGTTGCCAGTAGTGCTTTAGAGAAGGCTTTTAACATGCAGTTGCAAGAAGAATTGGATGGTGAAATTGCAAGGATGTTTTTTTCAGCTAGACTTCCTTTCAACCTTGCAAGAAATCCTCATTACAAAAATGCATTCACTTTTGCATGTAATAACAACCTTGCAGGTTATGTTCCACCTGGTTACAATGCATTAAGATTAAAATTATTAGAAAGGGAAAGAGCACATATTGAAACATTGCTTGAACCAACAAAAGGTGTGTGAAAAAAAAAGGAGTTACTTTGATGTGTAATGGTTGGACTGATCCTCAAAGAAGGCCACTCATTAATTTCATGTCCGTTATAGAGAATTTTCCAATGTTTATTAAAGCTGTGAATTGTGAAGGAAAATACAAGGATAAATATTTCATTGTCAAAATGATTAAAGAGGTGATAGTCATTATTGAGCTGTCAAATGTTGTGCAGGTTATAACAGATAATGCACTGGTGTGTAAAGTTGCAGGATTGTTGGTGGAGCAAACTTATTGTCATATATTCTTGACTCCATGTGCTGTGCACACTTTAAATCTTGCTCTAAAAAATATTTGTGCAACAAAAAATACAGAGACAAATGAAATCATTTATGCTGAATGTCATTGGATAACAGTGGTTGCAGATGATGCTGTTTTGATCAGAAATTTCATTATGAACCACTCAATGAGACTTTCAATGTTTAATGATTTCTCACATTTGAGAATGTTAGCTGTTGTTGAAACTCATTTTGCATCTATAATAATTATGTTGAGAAGATTCAAATAAATAAAAAATGTCCTTCAATCTATGGTGATTAGTGAGAAGTGGTTTTGCTATCGAGAAGATGATGTTGAGAAGGCAAGATATGTGAAAGAAAATGTCTTAGATGATTTGTGGTGGGATGATGTAGATTACATATTGGCTTTCATTGATCCGATTGATAACATGTTGAGAGAGGCTGACACAGATAAATCATGCCTACATTTGATTTATGAGATGTGGGACTCTATGTTGACAAAAGTGAAAGAAATTATATACAGACATGAAAGAAAGTCACACAATGAAGACTCAAGTTTTTAGAGTATTGTCTATACCATTCTTGAGGAAATGTGGACCAAAAGTAACACACCTCTGCATTGTTTGACCCACTCATTAAATCCAAGGTATATTTGTATTCATCTTTTGAATTAATTTTAAATTTCTTGATAAATAATTAAATAATTTTATATGATTTGTATTATTTGAAGGTATTCAAGTAAAGAATGGCTTCAAGAAGACCCTCAATGTGTCTCACCACAAAAAAATTTAGAAGTGTCAAATATGAGAAATATATGCTTGAAACGATATTTCCCAAATGAGGAGGTGAGAAGAAAAATTAATATAGAACTTGCAAAGTTCTTTGGATATTTAGAGGATTTTGGTGATCAAGAATCTTTGGTTGATAGATGGATGATGGATCCAAAATTATGGTAGTTGATTCATGGAGCTTCAGCACCGCTTCTTCAAACCATAGCAATAAAACTTCTCGGTCAAGTATCATCATCTTCTTATTGTGAGAGAAATTGGAGCACATACTCATTTATTCAATCAATGAAGATGAATAAAATAACTCCATAACGAGCTGAAGATTTAGTTTATGTGCATACAAATATTCATCTTCTATCAAGGAAAACCCCACTTTATATGACAGATGATAACAAGATGTGGGATGTTGTTGGAGATGGGTTCGAGTGCCTTGATGATATGGGGTTATTAGAAGTTGAAAATCTTTCTCTAGATGAACCAGAGTTGGAAGCAATGATATTCAATGATGATGATATTGAAGGCCAAAGACCAACCTCTGAATATAATTCTATCAGTCCCTCTATTGAGTAGTTGGACCTTCATGTTGTACTAAATAATTTTTTGCTTATATTTTTGTTATTGTACTAAACATCTTTATGTTATAAGCTAAACAAGTTATCATGACTTTGATTTAATATTGCTTGCCATTTTTAATACAATATTACCTTAATTTCTATATATTATATTAAAAAATTATTATGCCATGTCTACGCTGCACCCGTGTCCTGTATTTTGAAAAAAATGCCGTGTCCCGTGTCCGTGTCGTGTCCGTGTCGTGTTCGTGTTCGTGTTCGTGTTCGTGTTCGTGTTCGTGTTCGTGTCGGTGCATCATAGTTGTTAAGCATCATATATCCAATGACCCATACATGCTTATAAACATCATATATTTGCATCTGCATTTCAAGACAGTCCAATTAAGTGCACTTAATAAATAGTTATGGTCCAATAAAACAAGAAAGCATTGATGAAAACATGTGCTTTTATGAGGAAATAGAAGAACATTATTTGCTAGCAGGAGTACTCTAGCAAACAATGAACGTCGACTTTGAACAAACCAAAAAGCTTAATAATGTATAGTGTTATGTTCCTAACCGATATAAATGACACAAAAGGTTGAACAAAAAAATCCTATGAAATTTAAAACTCCATCTAGACATAAAACATCTTTAACAATCTAAAGATTTTCCAAGTTGTAAGAATTTCTGAGGATATTTAATACTTAAAAATGCAATAAGATTTTACTTGAACAATTGTAGATCTGAGTATAAGCAATATGTACTTGCACCTAGCCTACAAAATCTTTAGATTGAGTTTTCGTAAGGAAGCTTCCTCTTGCAATTTCCTTACAATTAATTTTACAGGTTTCCACTTTCCTCTCCTCTTATCTGCTCCCTGTTTCCTCCCACCTTTCACCTTCTATGCCATAATCTTAAAAAATATGCAACAATAAGAAGTATGGTTCAATTGGAAAAAAAATCAAGTGTAGTTTGAAAACATAATTATAGATATGCATTGTGCATGGAATATTTTATATGTGCATCCATCTATGCAAAGATGGACTCCCCAACGCTTTCATAAACCTTTACATGTTCAAAGTGTTAAACTGGAAGGTTTTCCAGTTTTATCTGCTTTTTCACTTCAAATTCATTTTTGATGCTTTGCATGGGCTCCCGCTGAAATGGCCTGCTTATCCATCTCATACTCTGAGTCTACCTATATCCTTGAGCACAACAACTAAATGCATAGAAGAGTAATATCTAACCTCTTGGTTTTCAGGAGCGTGTAGTAGGTCTGCTTGATCGTATTGAATCTTCTGTTCTTCACATAATACAAATAGATGTGTATCAGGCTTCAAATTTTAGCATATTAATAAAATATCAACTGACAGAAGAAGAGGCAAACCTCCGTAAATCCATTTATAATACCATTTTCTGGGAAGTCAATCTTGAATTCATTTCTGCTACTGCCTGAAGACCCATTTCCAAAACTGGGTAGCATCTCATGCAGGACCTCGTCTGTTACAGAATGATTATGACCAAGTGGCATGCTTGTGAGTTTCTCAGACGCAGAAAAAATATCAAGCAGTCCTCCTTCACCATCCATGTTAATTTGTTCCATACCTTTCCAACCATTTTCTAACCTGTTAACAAGAACCTTTATAGTAGAATTATCAGATCCACGGGATAAAATACATATAGGTCCGCGCAAAGAGTTTGAAGGGCCTATATTAAATAGATCAATGTATAATTCAATTAAAAGGTAGGTTGAGAATATTCAGGTTAACTTCTATGTCAAGCCACTTACAGGCGTTTCAAGTATAGTAGTAAATCCAGCTTATTTTCATCATAGAATGAAGAAAATAAAAGTATAATAAAAAATGTGAGAACCATTATATATCATGTTCCTGCATCAAATGATTTTCTAGAAAAAGGAATACAAGATCACCCAATCAACAAGTCATTCATAAGAAACCAAATAAAAGGAACTTAAACTTCTTCCAGTGGAAAAGCACCTTCTTTTAATGCTATCGTAAGAGTTTATTCAGCGGTTATTGACCATATTGCTTCAAAAGATTGTAAGTTGAGAGCATGGTACACTAACGGCATTCAAGGAGTGCCTAGTAAGCAAAAACCATATGTTTGCCTTGACTACCTCCCAAGATAATTTATAAGCTGGAAAGATATTATATCATAACTGCAGAAACAATAACAAATTACTCATAGAATAGAAGGCAAGCCACTTTATCTATAAGAAGCAGCATTAGAGATCTTCAGACTGCTAAATATGAACATGGAATCAGAACTTCATTTTGTTGTTAACTGTTCAACATATATTTGCTGAAAAATGGACTGTTTATAGATGTTTCTATATCTTCTATATATTAGTAATTGGTCTGATCAAATTTTCTTTCCCAAACAAGTAATTCAGATAGGATGGTCGTTATGTATGCCAAATTTAAATGCAAATATATTTATGTATGCAAAGGAAGGGACATGGATGTAAGCCATGCCTGCATACCTACCATATGTATCATTCTCCCAATATACATGACCAGACAAGGGAACATGCAGTTGCCTGGAAAAAAGGTGGTAGAAGCCTAGCGAGATGGTGTAGTCATAACAGAGACCATACAGCATCTATGGAGGTACTATTTTAGCAAGAAGTCTGTCGAATTGAAGTATTAAAGGGCCAAAGGAAAATAGGGAACTTTTTTGCTGTTCAACACTTTCAAGCATAGACCTGCGTTACAACTACAAAGTCCAAGGGACTAAATCTTTAGTTTTTCAAGTTAAAGGAAATTAGCATAATTTTCGTTAAAATATCTAAGAATTGCAAAACCCAACATTTATCAACCTTTTAGGTCCACTTCAAACAGCGATTAACATACCTAGTGCTACTAGATGCCTAGGACTACTAATGTAAGGTACATGAGACAAAAATTCACAAGAAAGGTGTGACGGACAAGAGCATTACAAGTCCAGTAGCCAAATTTCAATGTCCCAAAGAATAACAAAATTGTAAAAAAATTGTTGTACTCCCATACTAGTCAATATTTTTAAGTACTGGTCCATAAGATAAAGGAAAACCAAGGATGCTTGTACTAATAGAACAATGTTGTTATCTTCCTAATAAATTTCCTCAAATATTCAATAATTACGTGCCATGGTTTTGACTCAAGTGGTATAAGTCATAAGCTCGAGACTTGGCAACTACGGCATGAAGAACTTCTATTGTCACTTGCATTGGTTTAAATCTTAAATTAGTGATGCTATCAACAAATTATGTACTTTTTATTTATATTTGGACAATAGTATATTTTGTTTTCTTTTCTTTTTTAGCTATCCAATGATGGGAAAGCATCCAATGATCATGGTAGGTAGTGCATATGGCTTGGTAGACCTTTGGTTTGCTGGCTCGATTGGTCCCTGGCTGCTGGTGGTTCACGGGTTGGCTGTTTTGGAGCATTCGGTATTGAGCTTGTTCTCTAAGTTGCTTGAGCTGAAGTTTAGTAGCTCTTTAATTCTCAAAAGGTACCTCATTATGAAGCTTACTTTTGAAGTGGCCTTGTCCCTTCCCCTTCCCCTTTCTTCTTGTCTCTTGGGAATCCGTGGCTTATATTTATTGGGAGATGACTTCTATGCATAAGAATTTATGTTGGGATGTTTTACCACTTGGGATCTCACGGCTAAGCTCCTTCTTCCGTGATCGTCCCTCGTTTCCCGTGGCCGTGGCTCTTTGGTCCGTGCGGTTCCTTCGTCTCCCGTGGCTGTCTCCTTGGTTCCTGGTTTGGGTGTTTTTCCGTGAGCTTGGGGGGAAGATTCCTATGCTTAATGCTTTGGTTCTAATAAAAAAATTAAAGTCTTATGGCTATTGGCATTCCTCTCTCTTGCCTATAAATATGAGAAAATGTTGTGAAGAGAGGGAGTTGACATTTGTGAGCATATTTGCTATTAACCTGCGGGTTTATTCGGAAATCCTGCGGGCTCTTTCCACCCTTTCTTCTCGGGCTTCTAACCTCTTCGTCTCTCCGCAAGTGTCACTCCATCTGTATCCTTCTTCTCAAAGTAAAGCAACTTTAGGGTGTCGTATCAGAGTTGATTTGAAGCATCTATTGAAGAAATTGGACAATCTTGCATTGGTGGACCATCGGTTTGCTAGTTCTATGCACTTTACTTATTTAACCTACAAATTCAATGCATGTGAGGAACCCGCTCTGACGGTTATCTGAGGATAGCGTCTTTTTAAATTTCTTTATTTCTTTAAAATCTCCTAGCATCTTTTGTTGTGTTTGTCAAGTTTTGGGTCGTTTGTTTTTATTTAATAAAGTTTGTTTTAAGTTCTACTCATTGTGCCAGTTTTCTTCTTGTGTGTCTAGATCAATTAGCCTTGTACCCATAAAATGTGTAAATGGTCATGTGCCCACATTATAATTGTTAAGAATATTTATTCTAAAGTTTTGATCCGTACAACGCACTATGTCCTCATTCACATGATTTCAACATATATCAAGAAACACAACTTAGTATATATAACATTACTTTTAGAATATTCTGAGAGCTTCAAATAAATGACCCTATCAATGATTCTGAAGTCATTCTTCATTTGGCCATTCAATATCGAACATTAGTGTGGACTACTCTTTCATCTATTAAGTATGATAAATTAGTATTAAAAATATAAGAGATGAGAAATACGCCTCACCCTAGCTATCAGAAGGAAGGATATAGAAGCCTATTTCTCAATATGTTTCATTAGTGGCATTCAGTACTCCATAAAGTGGTTAATACCATGCCATGTTAAACAAATGAGCACTCAAGGCATAAGGTCAATATAAATCTCAGGAGCTTCAATAAATAGCTATGTGTTCGACTCATTTATGTTCATGAACAATATCAATTAAAGCTTATGAACAAGCTTGATAAGAAGCTCATTAAGAAGCTTGATTAAATCTTTCTTTTGTATATTTTCACATAACTCTTAATTTTATTTATTAAAATCTGCACGCCATCTAATAATAGACTAGAGCATGAGGTTAGATTTATCACACAATATAGCCAGAACAAACTCTAAAACAAGAGCAGAGGATGGGGGAAACAGCAAGTGCTCACCTGACTCCTTCCATTTTCATTTGCAGCCATTACCATTTCCAACCCAAAGACAGTGCCACCTCCCTCGTCCATCTGCGTAAACACAAAAAGCGGCAATCATGTTCAATTAACCCACTAAAATGTTCGAGTTTTTAACAAGCAATTTACAGGACCAGTGGCTTATTAGTACAAAATGAACCGGTAAGACTAATAGGTAAAATTTATGAGTAAAAAAGTTAGCATGGACAGAACTTGTTCAAACTTACTTGAGAAAAAAAAAGTTTAACACTCAGACTGAACTCAAAAGTAACAAAGGAAACAATATGGATTCATAAAAAACGCCCCCAAATAGCCGATATGACACTTATGAAGCTGCTTACCTTAGTTCTAGCATCGGCTGAAAAGGCATCCTTGAATTCCCAACTTCCATCATCAAAGTCATCCCCGTCTTCCTTCCCACCTACATCAATCTGTCCATATAGCTTCTCAATCAGATCATTCAACTTCCCAGACGTCGCTGGTCTTGAAGACGAGTGAGTCGCGAAAGAATAAGAGCCAAATCCATTCTCAAAACCCCCACTACCCTCAAGCGTCACCGGATCCGCCGCCTCTGCTTCTTCCTCGCCAAATATCGACAGCGGAATCGCCCCATTCGGTTTCACCCACGCCTTACTGCTCGGCGGCGATGAATCGAACGGAAGGGGAAAAGGCGAAGAGGATTGAGGCTGCAAAGAGTGGGATCCGAGCTCGCTGGCAACGAAATCACCCCAATCTTCGTCGTTGGCGGCGCTGGTGGAGAGAACAGTTGGGTTGGTATAGGGGAAGAACGAGGGTGTGTGAGAAGAAGAAGACGGGGAGGAGAACACGAAATCGCCGAAATCTTCGTCGTCTCCGTTTATGTTATTGGTGCCGCCGCCGAGAGGAGGGAACAAAGCCGGTGAGCTCGCCGGCATAGGGTCGGATTTGGGATTTGGGGATCTCAAAGCAATGGATCAATCTGCCGATCGAGGTGGAAAGCGCGGCTGCGGGATGTTAATGGCGGCATAAAGAGTAAAGACTAAAGACTCTCCATTTCTATGGATCTATTGGGCTATAAAGGTTTATGGGTACAAAACTTAGTTATATATTAAAAATACCAAAATTTAAGATAATATATCATTAAATTTTTAAAACTTTTATCATCACTCATTTTTATATGGGGGTTTATGTTCGTGCGTTTCTCTAGAAAATTTAATTTTATATGCCTAATAATATTAAAATTAGATAAATTTATAAGTTATTTTGGCTTATTTAAGATTAAATTATCTTTCTTTTGTAATATGGATTTTGATTATTGAAATTAATTCCAAAAAAAATATTCGAATATATTAAAATTTAAACATTGATTTGAATGTGATTTGAATGGGTTCAAAATTATTTTGAACTTAAGTTAACATAAGAATTTGTGGTTATAACTCATTGGGGCCTCAAGAATAGGATAGGTGATAGTGGTCATGGATGGATTGATAAATCTTAGGTTTTGATGGGGTTCTTGGTTGACAAAGGAAAGAAACGACAAAGTTAAGGGCTTGCAAAAGAATCCAAAGAAAATGGGGTTTCCTGAGGGCTTGCACTCAAGAGCCTCAGAAAATAACAAAGATTGGGGCATGTAAGCTGGATTAGTTAGTTCATATAAATGATTTCACGATGGGAGGATTTGTCAATGGGATAGGTGGCATGTGAGGAAATAATATTTTATAATGATGTCACAGTGGGGAAGGCAATGACGAGATTGTTGACTTGCATAGGCTAGCAGTGAAGGACGTTGTGGATAATGTGTCACAACCCAACCCAATAAGACTCATTGATGGGACATGTCCTATCGTATTGAGTTGCGATAGGCGAATTCCAATATATATAGTTGAATAAATTGTTTTAAAGAAATATAAACAATGAAAAATATAATTCACACTACTGTAGTAGTCAATATTTATTTCTATGATTCAAAATAATACATACAATAGTCTTCTTAGGTTATAAAAAAATACACATAAATCAAAGAAACTAAAATAAAACTAAACTAGCAGTGCTGAAAAGAACATAATGAGGAAATAATCTAACAACTAATTAAAATCAATGCAATAAAAAGAGAAATAGCATGCTTAAAATCACGTAATATTTGCTAATTGTACCATTTATTTATATCAATTTATCATTCTATAACACATCTTACCTCAATTTATTACATCATTAGTTATAATATTAGTACCACTAAACAATATCAATGTTAGTCATAATATCCAAAATCAGTAGCAATAATCAATATTACTGTGAGTCATAGTAACAAATATTAGTGTTAGTAAAGTTAGTAATCATATTAGTGACAATCATCCACCCCTTATGAGTCTCAATTAGTATACTCCTTATAACTCCCCTTTAATCATGTGAATCAATCACTCCGACTTCTTATAACTCCTAATCAATCTCCAACTTCTTATGACTCTCATGATCCCATCCAGTGTATTGCCCCATTGTAGAGTGTCGCATGTAAAAACATAGCATTTCAATACATATTACCTTATAGTCTTATCATGCCAAATCGTGGTACAATAAATTTCAACCCATTTTCGATCTGCCTTTTTCCCTACTCATTTTTCATAGAAATTCTAATACACATATTAAACTGGTGAAAATATAATAAAAATATATTTAATTATCCAAGATGGTCAAATATATAACATATCAAAAGTTACACTATGAAAGATTACAAAAATAGGATATAGTATAGTTTTAGTAGATTTATGGGGGACAAATTCGTAGAAATTGAAATTATCAAAAATAGAAGTAAGATGATAGTTACTTACAATAAATAGAATAATTTTTGTAAAATGAATGGTGGATAAAATGACCAAAAATGGGCTTTCCCTATCCCCCTCTCTCTTCTCCCACTCCCTTCTCTCCCTCTTCATCTCCCAATTCTTCCCGGCCAAACAATGAAATGAGGGAGGCAGTGGGGTGATGGCATGGATGTTTGAAATAAAGAATATATAAAAATATTATTAGTGAACTAACACATCAACGCTTAGTCACAGAGATGTAGCGCTTAAACCCCACACTGAAGTGATGCATGTATAATTCAAAATTATTATAGAAATAATGACCTAAACACTGTAACGACAGTTTTTTAGCGTTGTTGTGCTCTCAAGCTTAGTGCCACAATGCTGATAAGCATATCATCGAAGCGATTTAGTTTAAACATAAATTTAATTTTTTAAATTCTTTTTGTATTTCCATTTTATTATAATTTATGCACCTAAAAAATATCGTCATCAATATTTTTATAACAATCTGAGAGAAGGAATAGAAGCTCAAAATAATATTTTGAAGTTGAATTGGTGAATCGGCATACAAATAACAATAATAAAAAAGCAGGTTAAAATTAATTCAAATTCACCTAAAAACTAAACTTGTAAATTAAAAAATAACACAAAAATCATACCTGTCATATATACATACACTTATGGAACCTCTTTCACTAATTCCAACTGTCAACATTCAGCCTGAGCATATCCTTGTCCATGTCTCGACAATAGACATTCTACAATCCTATGCCCATAATCATCACACCTAAAATATTATCCGGTCACCCCATATATAATAGGACCCTACATGTCTCCTTCCATACCACATACACTATAGAGTGATATGTGCTTTAACAATTTTAACAATCATTTTCTTACTAGTTTCCCCCCCATCTTTTTATAACTCTGCCCATATTATTTCGTCAATCAATCACTCATAATATGAGTAATCATATCGGCAAACCTTTCAATATTTCTTGAAGTTACTAAAAACGCCTTAGCGTTAGGTTCAAATTTATTTATTGGTTCATTTACCTGATCAATAAACAAACCATAAATTTAAAATGAATCCTTCAAAACACAGATACAAAATAATTTATTTAAAATAAAATAAATATATAAACATACTTAAAAAAATGCAAATCAATAGAAGCTAGTCATGATTATACAAAAGCTTGTCATGTCCATGTAAAAGTCAACAAGAGAAGTACATATATATATAGACTCAGACCAGGTCTTGAACTGCTAATCAACATGCTTCTTCACTTTCTCAGACCCTAAAATAAAATGCAAAATCCAGTTAGCTAAAATAGCTCAGCATCGATCTAAGTTCCAAATATTTCTTTTATTAAATATTTTATGGAATATTTAAAAGTAATGTAATAAATTTCTATGCCAAGCAATGTAATAAGATCACAACAGTTATCCAAATATTTAAATAATAATATATGGTAGTTAAATTTATTAAACTTTATATCACATAACATAACATAATAGATTTTCTCGGTCCCATACAATATCTCAAAGGATTCAGGCTCCTTATGACACTCAATATGCTTATAACATCAAATATGCTTTTAGGTATCGAAATATGATTTTTTAACAACCAGAACTTCCGTTTAAGTCAACAGAACATCTTACTTTTTTCTCAATAATTTCATCATAACTTCTTAATTCAACCAATAAAAGACATAAATTTAATCACATTAACACATATTTTAGTATATTATAAACACATATCTCATCACGTTGTAGCAGTTAAAATATAATTGAGCTCATATTAGAATTGCATAATTTTCTATAACAATGAAAAGCGTAAATTCCTAGTGAGCAGAAATTCACAATTTTAAAACACAACCAAATTATTGAATATTGTGTAAAACCATATTTTAAGATTTTAATTGTACTACGATTCTATTTTTTATAGTATGGATTATTTTCTGAGAAAATGGTGAGCCAAGCTCAACGAAGAAGATGAACAGTCGTAAGATGAGGAAAATAATTTCATTGTATTACTGTAGCAACGGTACATTCGAAATTAAATACACTAATGAGCATAAAGTAAGGATTTAGGATTTGACTATATTGCCCTTAGACAATTACATAAAGTGTAAAGTATTGTGTGGCAGAGGGAGCAGCTGAGGCAGAAGGAAGTGGCGTTAGCTGCTCCTGATCGGCGGCGGAGTCATCAGTTTATCACCGTCCCTCAAGGTGATGGGAGGTACGACCATCAGCTTGCTACGAAGAGTCTGAAAAAGTGGCGCGGGCAAAGATTTGGTAAACACGTCGGCGAGTTGATCGGAGCTAGGAACGTGATGGATAGAGACCTGTTTCAACTGGATGATATCCCAAACAAAATGATGGTCAATTTCGACGTGTTTCGTCCGCGCATGAAAGACAGGGTTACCCGCGATGGAAATCGCAGAGACATTGTCGCAGAATAGTGGTGTTTGACCGAGAGAGATGTGGAAATCTTGGCAGAGACGGCGGATCCAGATGAGTTCGGCTACAGCGCAGGCCAAAGCTCGATACTCTGCCTCCGTGGAAGATCGGGCAACAGTTGTTTGCTTTTTGACGGACCAGGCAATTAGAGCTGTGCCGAGAAATATGCAATAACCTATGGTCGACTTACGATCAGTGGCGTCACCGGCCCAGTCGGAGTCGGAGAAGGCAGAGAGGCTGAGATCGGTTTTTGGTATAAACCAATTGAAGGAGGTAGTGCCGGAGAGATAACGTAGCAGTCGTTTTAGCAGTTGGTAATGAAGTAGCAGTGGGTTATGCATATGCTGGCAAAGGCGATTAACTGCAAAAGAGATATCGGGTCTGACTTGGGAGAGGTATTGCAGAGAGCCTACGAGCTGGCGGAACAGTGCTGGTTGGCTGAATGGCGTTTGAAGGTGAGAGTCCATGGGTATTTTGGTTGGCAAGGGTGTTTGTGTTGGTTTGCAGTTGGTCATAGAGGCTGTTTGGAGGAGATCAGTGATGTAAGAGCGTTGCTCAAGTAGATATCCTGTGGGAGTTCGGGTGAAGTTGATGCCGAGAAAGCGGGAAATGGGACCCAGATTAGGTATTTGAAATTTGTGGTGAAGGTTGTGAATTAGAGAGGAGATATATTGTTGGTCATTTCCTGTGATGATAATGTCATCTACGTTGATAAGGAGGTAGATGAGGATGTTATCTTTGGAGAGAATAAGGAAGGAAGGGTCGGCATTGCTGACGGTGAAGTGTTGGGTGCACAGATAGTTTGTGAGGGTAGCAAACCAGAGGCGGGGGGATTGTTTTAGACCATAGAGGGATTTTTTTAGAAGACAGACGTGATTTGGAAATTGGGTATCGACGAAGCCAGGTGGTTGAGCCATGTAAATGGTGGTGTCAATGTCGCCATGTAAGAAAGCATTGACAACATCCAGTTGGAAGATTGGCCAGTCGTGGTGAAGTGCGATGGTGAGAAAGATACAAATGGTAGGGAATTTAACAACTGGGCTGAAGGTTTCAAGGTAATTGATGCCATATTCCTGTTTGTAACCTTGAGCCACGAGACGGGCTTTGTGTCGGGCGATAGAACCATCGGCAAGACGTTTAATTGTGAAAATCCATTTACAGCCGATGGCTTGGTGATGTGGAGGCAGAGGAACAAGGGACCAAGTCCCTTGATTTTGGAGGGCGGTAAACTCGGAAGACATGGCTTGATGCCATTGAGGAGATTTACTGGCAATGCTGTAGGAAGTTGGAATAGAGTCAGTAAGATGGGAAAGATTTAGTATTTGTCTGGGTTTCAATGATCCAGTTTTGAGGCGAGTGATCATAGGATGATGAGGTTGTAAGGTGGAGCTGGATGTATTGTCTGTAGAGGAAGTGAGGTGGATGGTATCGATGGAGGTATTAGTGTTATGCAGTGAAGGAGTAGGTAGAGGTGTAGGTGGAGGAGAAGAATTTGGAGGAATAGATTGAGGTGTGGGAATTTGAGGAGGATGAGGGAAGAGTGGGAAAATGGGAGAGGGTATTGTTTGTGGAGTTTGAATGCAGTCGATAAAGTAGAAGTTGTTCCACAGGACAAGGAACTGCCACTTCTAGAATCCAGATGTTTCTTGGCAAGTTTTGCAAAAAGATTACGAAATTGGCAAATTGGTGATCGGGAATGGGCATTACTAAGAAGAACAGGAGCTCCATTTGGAAGTCTAATTAAAGACATTATCGAGCTTGATATGAATATGGAAATAGTGGATGCTCTGTTGGGCTTCTGGGATGAGGAGCATTGTGGCTTTTTTGTTGGAGGGGTCATAATTCCTTTCACAGTGGATGACATTGCTCTGATACCATGAGAAAATGGTGAGCGAAAATGGTGAGCCAAGCTCAACGAAGAAGATGAACAGTGGTAAGATGAGGAGAATAATTTCATTGCATTACTGTAGCAACGGTACATTCGAATTTAAATACACTAATGAGCATAAAGTAAGGATTTAGGATTTGACTATATTGCTCTTAGACAATTACATAAAGTGTAAAGTATTGTGTGGTAGAGGGAGCAGCTGAGGCAGTAGGAAGTGGCGTTAGCTGCTCCTGATCGGCGGCGGAGTCGTCAGAAAATTTGAAATAACTTGTATTTTTGAAAAAAGAGATTTACATTGTATGACTTATCTTGATCCGAAGAAGTTTTTGAACTGAGTTAACGACTAAAAATGACCTGAAATGACACAAATCCCCTTGTTTCTCTCTAAAATCTCTATAATTCTCTCTACTTCAGCTGCCAAGGCATTCAAAATGAATGGAATTGTGGATTAAAAATATATTAAAGTGCAGATGGTGGTCTAACACTGCGACACTAGGTCAAATTTCAAAACCCCGAGAGCACGATGCTAGGGTGCCATTGTCGAGCACCTAAGTGCCAGAGCACCAATTATTATTATTATTTTTTTTTCCAAAATGAGTTAAACCCCCTAGATTCCACTCCAATGTACATGTAGACATTTTTCATACACACATATGATTCTCAAACACATACAAAATAGTTCAAAATACAAAAGTTCAATTATTTATCTTTTTCAAATCGTATTAGAACATATTAATCCAAATGCTGAACCTAGAGGTGTCACAATACGTTTAGAAAGGAAGGTTGCAATTAAGTTTGAACTATATTCGATCGGTTCAAATAATATAAAAAATGATTTGAACACGATTAGATCAAACTTAGATCGAATACGGTTTGAACAAAGTTCAAATTTGAGCCAATTCAAATCAAATTTGTTTGTGATGAACCTCAATGAGCAATCAAAGTATATAAAAAGGCGATTAATTTGATTTGAAATAAACTTTTAGATATATTTCTCTGACATATTTTTGAAATTTCAAACTTTATGAAGCATATGAAGTCACATTTCTCATCTTTTATGAGTTTTTCTTAAACAAAAATATTTATATTGGGACTATGCCATCATTATTATCATCATCAATGTTGACCCAATATAATAAACTTTAAATTTTAAAAATTTTCATAATTATTATAAAAATATTTATATTGGGACTAATGCCATCATTGTCAAAGATGAGTTATTTATTTCTTTATTTATTTTTGGAGTGCTAAAGCATTTCTTGTTTGAAAAATATATATTGGGCTATCTTTTTAATCAAATATCTTATCAAATAAATATTAAAATAAATTTAACTAAATTTTCATCAAAGATATCTGATCAATTGAATATTCGCAATAATTTTGGAAATGTTTACCGACTAATCTAGCTAGCAGCCACGTTAATGAAATCTCATATTTTCCAACCGTCGGATTAATTAGAGCCAAATCCTACGGCTTAAAATAACAACAATTACGATATTTGACGGTTGCGTGCCTGCGGTAAACGCAGAACGCCGATCTGTGTCTTCTTCTTTGCCAACTATCCTGCTGCTCAGCGTTCTACGATTCTCTCGTCTCTGCGGCGGCGTCTAGGTTTACGATCTGATCGTCATGGGGAGAAAATCAACAACGGAAGCCTCTACGGCTCCTTCCAAACCTTCTAAGACCAAGGAAAAGCTCTCTGTTTCGGCTTTACTAGCAAGCATGGACAAGCCCAAATCATCTACTTTGTCGAAGCCAAAACCTAAATCCAAGCCTTCATCTTACATCGATGGAATCGATCTTCCCCCATCAGACGACGAAGAGGAGATCAATCATGAAGCGGGTTCCAAATCTAGGGCTCCAGTCACCGAGCTCTCCGTCGCCACGCTTTCCGATAAGGAAGTCAAGAAGCGGGAGAAGAAGGAGATGATGGCGGCGTACGCGGCCGAGGCGGTGAAGAAAGAGGCGCTCAAAGATGACCGCGACGCTTTCACGGTGGTTATTGGTGCGCGGGCTTCGTCTCTCGATGATGATGAGGCTTCCGCTTCGGCTGATGCGAACGTGCGCGATATCGCTATTGAGAACTTCTCGGTTTCGGCGAGGGGGAAGGAGTTGCTCAAGAACGCGTCGGTGAAGATCTCGCATGGAAAAAGGTACGGTCTTGTTGGTCCGAACGGGATGGGGAAGTCGACGTTGCTGAAGCTTCTGGCTTGGAGGAAGATTCCGGTTCCAAAGAACATTGATGTGCTGCTTGTAGAGCAGGAGGTTGTTGGTGATGACCGGACGGCCCTTGAAGCTGTTGTTTCTGCTAATGAGGAGCTTGTTAAGCTGAGGAAGGAGGTTGCCATGCTGAGCGAGCAGGCCGAAGCCAAGGAGGATGGTGATGATGATGATGATGATGATAAGGGAGAAAAGCTTGCAGCTCTTTATGAGAAGTTGCAGTTGATGGGGTCTGATGCAGCGGAGGCTCAGGCGTCCAAGATACTTGCTGGCTTGGGGTTTACCAAAGTGATGCAGACCAGAGCAACACGATCGTTCAGTGGTGGATGGAGGATGAGGATTTCTCTTGCAAGGGCGCTTTTTGTTCAGCCTACGCTTCTGTTACTTGATGAACCTACCAACCATCTTGATCTCAGGGCGGTGCTATGGCTTGAGGAGTATTTGTGCCGGTGGAAGAAGACCCTTGTTGTTGTCTCCCATGATCGTGACTTCCTCAACACTGTGTGCAATGAGATCATCCATCTACATGATATGAAGCTTCATTTCTACAGGGGAAATTTTGAAGATTTTGAGAGTGGATATGAGCAGAAGCGAAAAGAGATGAACAAGAAGTTTGAGGTCTATGATAAGCAGCTGAAGGCAGCTAGGAGAACAGGAAGCAAGGCCCAGCAGGATAAAGTCAAGGACAGGGCTAAATTCCAGGCAACTAAAGAAGCAAAGCATAGGGGAAAAGGCAAGGCAGATGATGAAGATGGTGCGCCACCTGAGGTTCCAAAGAAATGGAGAGATTACAGTGTGGAATTCCACTTCCCAGAGCCAACTGAGCTAACTCCGCCGCTCTTGCAGCTCATTGAGGTCTCCTTTAGCTATCCAAGCAGGGCAGATTTCAAGCTCTCAGATGTTGATGTTGGTATTGATATGGGAACAAGAGTTGCTATTGTTGGGCCAAATGGTGCTGGCAAGTCCACTCTTCTAAACCTACTTGCTGGAGACTTGGTTCCAACTCAGGGAGAGGTGAGGAGGAGCCAGAAACTTCGGATTGGGAGATACTCTCAGCATTTTGTGGACCTCTTAACAATGGAGGAAAATCCAGTGCAGTATTTGCTACGCTTGCATCCAGATCAAGAAGGTTTTAGTAAGCAAGAGGCTGTGCGAGCTAAGCTTGGAAAGTTTGGGCTCCCAAGCCACAACCACCTTACTCCTATTGCAAAACTATCCGGTGGACAGAAATCTCGCGTTGTCTTCACTTCCATTTCAATGTCTAAACCTCATATTCTTCTGTTGGATGAACCCACAAATCATTTGGACATGCAGAGCATTGATGCATTGGCCGAAGCATTGGAAGAATTCACTGGTGGTGTTGTTTTGGTCAGCCATGATTCTCGGTTGATATCTCGCGTATGTGAAGATGAGGAGCGGAGTGAAATATGGGTGGTTGAAGAGGGAACAGTCAGAAAGTTCCCTGGTTCATTTGAAGAATACAAGGAGGACCTACTGAGGGAAATAAAGGCAGAGGTGGATGATTGATATGTGACTTATATAGGTATTTATTATAATTATTTACTATGATATTGTCCTTTATGAATTTTGAAGATTTACTATTTTATTTTCTTTTCGGGTCAGTAAAACATGAGCCTTTTCTGGTCCTGTTCAAGAAACTATTGAAACTCTTTCATATGTGAGTGAATAATATCTTGAGTTCCTTAAGCAAAATCTTCCTATTGTAATTTGTTAGTTTACTTTTGCTTCTCATCATGTAGGATTGATGTATACTCAGTAGCAGTACTGATCTGTGACTTAGTTCATTTACTCTTGGACTAATATATTGTTGCTTTTTGCTACTATTGCCTATCTCAACATTCTTTTCATTTGTAAGCTGTATTGCTATTTTCTCTGTTAATGCAACTCATGATGGATATTTCTTAATTCAAGTCATGAATTAGTGAGGTAAAATTTGATGCTTGCATGGACAATGATTTGGTATTCTTTAATTTTGGTTTTTGTATTCCTATTTATTTTTCTTCTGATTGTTTTCTTGTCAGAAATTATTGTTAAGGAATCATTTCAGCAAATTGAGCTTATAGTTCTATATGGGGATGCAAATGAGTTGATGTGAGCTCGGCTTCAATCACCTCTAGCTTGAGCTTGAACTTGATTAATTAGTTTGAGCCCAAGCTCACGCTCATTTCTATGAGTTTGAGTCGGCTCATGATCTTGCTCATTTATTATAGAAGAGAAAATAATTTTGATTTAAACAACTATTGTAATAAAATAATAAAAAATGAGAAGTTTGAGGAGAAATAATCAGTAATCATTTGATATAAGGACGTGAGATATTATTTTTAAAGATTTTTCATAATTTTGTATGTAAACGCTTGAATTCTAATGTATTATAAGTTCATCTTGTATTAATATATTTTTAAACAAGTCAGTTTATGAGACAACAAGTTAAGTTTGATTGGCTACAAATTTGGATTGCAGCTTTTGGAATCCACAAGCTATTTATCAAATTGAGTCTAAGTTGGCTCATGAGTCATTTTGACTTCAGGCTTCGGTTGGGACGGCTTTCTTGCTACTTCTTAAAATGGCTTTTTAGTAAAAGCTTTTTAATTTTTTGTATTAAAAAGCTGTTTTAAGAAGCATAAAAAAAGCCGTCCCAAACGAAACCTTAGTCATACTCCTAATTATATATGAGAGTTGATCTGTGCTTTGGAAAGTGAATTCTTCATTCATATGTAGGAGGCATATTGTTTGATGCTATTTAGATAGTGTGATACAACTCATTTAACTGGCTAGCACATTCCAAATTAAGTTTATAAAAATGATGCAATGAGAAAAAGGAAAGAATTTAATTTTTACCAAAGGACAAGTGACAATACAGACAGAACCATATATTATCCCTTATATGATTATAGCTGCATAAATTTTTACTCTGCTACATGAAAACTGCATTTCTCTTGTTCTATTTTCATTGCATATGCAGATATGCTATTAACTTAGATTAACACATTAAAGCCTTACTTGATATTTTGGAGTTTAGCCGAAATTATTTCTATCTGCTGTGGTAATGCTAGTAATGAGCATTCTTGGAATGTTTTAAGTTCTATGGAAGAAATCATCTGTTTTTATTGGTTCTCCATTTGCTGCCATTGCAACTCATGCATGGTGGTGATGAGCAATCAGTTCATAGGAATTAAAATCAGAAGTAGCCAATAAGAAATCGAATTCTTTCAGAGCTTTGAGTTATGGTTCTAAATCTACAGGAGGTTTAATTCTGAAGGCAAAGTCTATCTCCATATGCAGGAAACATATTGTTTGTGCTAATCAACTTGGGTAATTCTGGTCATTTTTCATCTACAGATTGCACAAGCCAGATTATGTCTATAAAATCATCTAGAGTGAGAAAAAAAGAAGAGGGAGGAAGATTTGATGAACCAAAGTACAAAGTAATAAAGCTACAAGTATGTGCTCCACGATAACTGCATATTTCTTTGGTTTTTCCTTCAGTTAATATAGCCATTGTCAGGCCTGTGTCTACCTTTTGTTTGTCTGCGCATCAAATTTATTTCTTTGCACGTATATAAGAATAATTAAGCTAATATTAAGTTGAGTATACGAGTGAACAAGGTTTTATTAGTTTAATATTGGTTCTTTGTTAGTTTTCTTATATGTTAATTGACTTGATGGTTTAATGTTTTAAGCTTTGTGATGGTTCATTATCAGTTAGTAAGCCTGTAATCATGCTTAAGAAGGTTGATATCTGAACAATTTACTGTTTTATATGATTATTAAGAAGTACTTTGGAATATTTATTTTCAGCTGTCTTGAAATATTGAAGATCCCTGGCTGTGAAGTACTAGAAGTAGATGTACATGTTGAAGCTTCTTAAAGGTTTTTGCTTTTAAGAAATAATTTTGAAATATTTACAGTCAGCTGTCTTGAAATATTGAAGTTCTCTGGAAATGAAGTGCTAGAAGTAGAAGTGTATGATCAAGCTTTTGCTTTTATGATATGAAACAGATTCGCCATTCATGCTTGTGTTGTATGAGATGTTTAATCTATTTCACATTGCAATATTCATATTACTTTTCTCTTTTTTTTTTTTTTCTTTTTCAGTTTTTTTTTTTTTTTTTTTTTTTTTTTTTTTTGGGGGGGGGGGGGGACATTTAGGCCAATAAAATAAAGGTAGGGGTAGACTTAAAAAATTTGGTTATAAAATATTAGGAATGATTTTTTTTTATTAGATTTTAAATGAGAATTTGACTCCTAATAGGATATAATTGAGAAAAAGGATTAACGTAGCCGACCCCACGTAGTGAGATAAAGGCTTGATGTTGTTGTTGTTGTATTTGGGTCAATCAAGTCAAATTCATACGCACATCACATACGCAGGACTCGAACCCATGACCTCTTGATTAGTAGTCAAAGCTCCCAACCAACAGACTAAGTTGAGTTGTATATATTTTTTTCTTTATTAATTTTATCTTTTATTTTTTTGTTTCTTCTTTCATTCTTCACTATATATTGCTAAATAATCTCTGGCATTGTATTTGGGATTGTTTTCTCATAATTTTACTTTACAATTTGCTACTAAACTTCTATTAAACTATTTTACGTTTTTGAAAAAGATTTTGTGATGCAAATGAGCTTTTTACTGTAAGATCTGTTAGAGTATCGTTCGAGTATGATGAACTCATAACCTTTTCAAAAACTCAGTTCGCCCCCCAACAATTTCATTATTAATTTGCAGATAGTTGTAGCCATTCCACATGAGCACTTGTTGTTGTAGTCTAAAAAGGTAAAGTAGTCGAATAGTATCTTGGGATGAGAAGCTTTGCTTTATGCAGAATGAGACTTATTTCTCTAAGGCATGATATATATGTACTTCCACAGTGTAATTATTTCTGAACTGTTCTGATCTTTGTGTGTATGTGGAATTTGAGATGATTTTTCATGTAAATCTGTTTGTATGGAATTTGGTGAATTTGCAATTGTCATCACCACATGCAAATATGATTATAGTTTGAATATAGATCAAATGCATAAAGACCTTCAAATTTACTTTCATCTTTGCTCTATTTTGGCTACTTTTTATTGCAAACAAGCACTACTATTGTAACAGCTCAAATTGTGAATTATTGATGTATTATCCATTTTAACTTAATAATAATCTAAGTGTTGTTCCATGATGTAACTTTCTAGGAGGTTACCCATCACAAGATTGCTTCCGTATGAGCACGCTTAAACTTCAAAAAACGCCTTGATGTTTAAGTGTTCAACTTTATTAACGGATTTTACAATCTCACCATCTAGATAACTGTTCATCCTTGTTAATTTCATTAGTCCATAATCATCCTCTAGACTTATGGGATTTAGAGGTGTTGCCTATAAGTTCAAGTGGTGGCTTCTGTCATATAATACTTTATCGGTCCTTATGATGTAGCAATTTGTCTTGTATGACTCTTAGTTCCCATCTGAAGGGATTTCACAACTCCAATGCGTGACGCTTTGGATTTCACAACTCCAAGCGTTTGTCTTGAAATGCAATTATGCGTTTGTCTTGAATGCAAGCATTTGAAGATTGAAATTGAGATCTGTAATGGGATTCGTTTGTGTTTTCCGTATATTGTAGTCATGAAATAACATAAATAAAATGGAATGAAGGTTTAAAATAAATTTATTGTAGTTTGAATAAATAGTGTTGAAACTAGTTTGGTTAGAAATAGGTTCATAGGAAATCAATGAGCTTCACTGAAATGTATTTCAATAAAACTTAGGCTTTGTTTGACATTGCTTTCTTACTGTTCTCTAAAGTAGTTTTCTAGTAAAAAATTTCTTGAAAGCAGCAAAAAAAAATAATGACAAAAAAATGTTCCAAAACCGTTCTATATATGCATATATGAATTTATATGCTTTATAATATTGAAAATTATATAAATATACCAGTTTTTTTTTTTAAACATCAAATTTTTTTTCTTCTTTAGATCAATGATCCGAAGAAGCGTCAAATAAGCATTGAATAAAGCTCAAACAAGGTCGAAACCACACTAACAAGATTTCCAAGCCCGCTCTAACCCTACTCAAGCCTTATTTGAACTCAATACAAGATCATGATGAACATAATTCAAATGTGTCAAACAATGATTGAGCATTGCTCGAATTGTCTTAGATATTATTCAAATAAAATTTGAACATGGTAGATACGAAAAACTAAGATCCAATATCTCAAATAGGTCAAGTGTTGTATTGCATTCTTTCCTAAGTCGTCGTTAGATTGTATGTGCAAAAATGACGTAATGTTGATTTTTAATGAATTACCTTACTATAACTATTGGAACTCATCATGGTTGCTTGACATTGTAGGAAGTGAGATATCACTTATAATTCAATGAATTTTATTTTGGTTATTGTAAAATTTATTTCTAATAATCTTTAATGAAGAAATGAAGAATATATCTACCATATCAAGCTAACTAAAATCTTCCTTTCTCTTAATCTTGTAGTAAATTCAGACCGCTAATTTATAATATTAATCAAATGATTCATCCAACATAATATGTTGGAACCATAGGACATTGGGTAACATAAAATTTGCTCCAATATTAAGTACTAACATAAGGAATTAATATGTTTCAAGAAAAAAAAAATAAAGTAAAAAAAAAAAAATTATTTCAATCCTAGTAATATTTTTTTTATTAGTTAAGAGAATCCTTACGTTGCTATCTAACTATGTAGTTGGAGTATTTAACTCTCAAACCCACTTTAAGCTTCCAATGTATCTCCCTCACCTTGGAGTCGTTTATCAAAATTATCATCTAAGCTTTAAACTTAAAGGAGGATAATT